AACTGAGAAAGCTCATCTTAAGTGATCCTGACCACCATAGCTAAATCTACTTCAGATTTGCACCTGTAATTTGAAGAGGTTACTTGGTTTTACATGATAAGGCTGATTAGCTGTTATTAACAGAAGATACCACACTCCTCTATTTCTCTTATTCCAAGGAAAAGAAATTTCTCTCTCAAAATATGTAATGATTACCCTCTGCTGGTAAGAGAAAGGCCTACTCTGTTTTTCAGTCTCTACTTCCATATCTTCCAGACATAACAGATATTTTCATACCAATTTGGGGAAAATATCCCTATCTAACTAGAGAAAACAACAGAGAGCAAAACTGTATTTTCTAAGCTATTCCAGTTGCTCCCATTTCAGAAATAAAAATTTCAGCATTTTATGCTCAGTTCACAAGTGTAATTCTTGCTGACCACTAAATGGCCACTAATTCTGCCTTGACTAACACACTTTTATCTTAAGAGGGCTGTGGGAACTGGCAAGTTCTACTGCTCAGGTGCATTTTCAGAACATGCCATTAAGTCAGAAGCCTTATGAATCTTGATAACCATCCTACAAAGACCTGAACCTCCTCTGATGTTAAGATTAATTTCATGTAATTGCTTGTAAAATAAAACAGAAACTTGTTTGCCTTTAACAGGCAGTAGCTTTGCTTACTGGGACTATCTTCACCCTTCTGAATTTGAAAGGAAAATTTTCAAAGGACTTGAAATCATTCCCCATCACTGGGAGTTGAGATTAAGCTTTAGCACATCTTCCCTACTAAATACAACACAGCTAGGATTTTTCGCATGTGAACATTGTGGAAGATGCTGCTAAAGATTTTAAAGAGGTTTGCTAGTATATCAGACTGCAAAGAATAGTCTTCCTTCAAGGATCTCAAGTACTCAGCAGGCAAAAAAGGAGATTGGAATACTTATAAGACAAAAAAGAAGAAAGCTGAGAATACTCTCAATACAACACAAATCAGTATTTAAAAATACTTTACAATGGAGAAGGGTGCAGATTAGTTGCATTGCACACTGTTAAATAGGTAGAGAAGACATAAGGGGTTTTGGAGGGGCAATGATATGCATTGCTCAGATTTATCAGATGTCATGTACAAAGAGAACGTGTCTGCCAATCATTAGGTTGAAGACATTATGTAATTGTTTTGTTGGATATATAGTTCCAACTTTTAAAGCATATACATGTAGCAGTCTTAAAGAAGAATATATATATATATATATGAGAACATATATGTAACCAACTATAGCTATGGATGAGGATATTACTAAGACATATAACGTCATTAGATTGGATTAAGAGCCTGACATCAAAAAATTTCATTCCAGCTTTTGTCATAAAGCAAGTTTTGTGTCTGGAGTTCAGTTAAGTCTAGTCTCAGAGTCAGGATAAATCTGACCAAGGCAGAGGTCTACAGTGACATCCATAGTGAATGGAAAAAGATAGGCATTTCCAGAGGCCAGCTTACCTCTCTTTTAAGTAGATCTTTAAGCAAGTCAGATGAATTGCACCCTAAACATGCTCTGACTTCTTTACACCTATTATTAAGGGAGGTTAGGATGACTGGCTCAGATCTTGATTCACTACTAATATTTTCCAGAAAGTACAACATACATATGACTGATGATTTTGAGATAAAAAACTGAAAATCCAATACAGAGCTTTTGGTTAATAATTTTTAATGTTATTCCCATCTTTACTACACCTCCAAATTTTATTAATTAATTAATTCTTAATTTAATGAATTCTTTGGTATTATGAACAGAAAAAAGCAAGTCTGGCAACATCAGTTTTGTAGGACTATGTTTCACAGACAACCTTCAGATGCAAGAGAATAGTTCTGATCTGCTATTTTCCTTGAGATAGTGATAATGAATTATTTCAAGGAGTAATACTAAATATGAGCTAAACTGAAGAGAGGGAGCTTTCTTTTCATTTGGCAAGTTCTGTTTGGTCCGATTAAGCACCGATTATTTTAGAAATACTGAAGACCCTTTAAAGTTATCAGAAAGAAGGAGGAGAAACCCAAGCACTTTCAACAAACATGACATGGAATAAATCTACAGATAGAGATACATTTTTCTCCTCCTCATGAATCATCTTAGAAAGAAACATAAATACAGAAGTATAGAACACTATAAAGAAATATTTTTATTGTTAAATGGTATTCATGGCACTACTGCAATAGTCTTTCCTTCCTGGGAAGCATCTTCAAGCACCATAAGATAACATTTAGCTTATGAACAATATTTGAATATCAGTAAAAAAAGTATTATTTTACCATCTATAAACTAAGTAAATAGAATATATTTCCCCATAAAACATGTTTTAAAGTCTTTTGTTTCAATACTATGTTTTATCCATATATAACAACATTAATAAACTAGGCAAAGTTTCATATCAAGTATAATGATGTTAAAATTCTTGTAACCTGCACTTGACACCAGCTGCAGTTACTCATAAGAAAGATACACTAATCACATACTTGTGCTTGAGACAAGTAGGGTCTTCAACAATCTTAAACAGATTTTAACTAAAGATATCACTCTATGTAAAGAAAAAAACACAAACAATCACAAAGAACAAAATTGGTATCTTATTTAAATACTGGTAATATACCTACTTCTATCTTATCCTTTCCCTGACAAGTTTCTAATTAGATTCCATCTACTAGAAATAGATATATTAATTTCTTTTAATGAACCAATCCTTCTTCTTTAATTGATAGAGATCTTTTCCTGTACAGTTCTAACAATTATGATACAATTTGCTGTATTGACAAATAACGAATTCTTTATATCCCTTTAGTGTCATGTGGAATTAATAAAATAAAAGACTTCACTTCCAGGTAACAACTCAGTTTCTATCAAGTTTTTAATGAATAGGACTTTGCTTTAAAGTTGTGTATTTAATTTTCAATGCTATATTAAACCACTCTGTATTAAGTTAAACTGCCTTAAAGTTTAAAATAATATTCAAATATTACATGCTAGCTGCCAAGATCTGAAAGCAAGTCAGATTCTAAAAAGAAAACAATTGGCTTAGCCACTGGAATTCAAGATTGTCAAAATGAGAAAATGTTTTGACTTTTAGCCTTTTCTAAGAGTGTTGGCAATTTTTTTTCATTTAACTTTTTACTAATGTTCAAAACTGAGGAACTGGGTTCAGAATATAAAAAGCAGAAATATTTTTCCTCTCTAATTTTAAAAACAAAACTATTTTACTTGAACTCAAGGTAAAATAAGTACTATAGACAATATTATAGAAGAGCCAAATCTTATAAAATGCTTTATGTTAAATATTTTGATGAGTTTGTATGACTGCTGCCATTTCTTCTCAACCTTTTTTTCTGCTTTTGATACATATATTTTATTCAGGTACTATATGTGGATAAGAAGAAAAACTATTTGTTTTTCCCCTGCCTTTGCCATCCATTATATCATATGTTGAGCTTTGTACAAATAGAAATATAATGCCATTTATGTTGCATAATGTATTTTACTGTATTAAATTTAATAAAAATTAAAATGTCATTAAATAAGTGTGTTTTGAGGCAGTCTAGCTAATCCTGATTTTCAAGCAAAAGTGGTAAAAATAAAATATCCTATGTCTGATACACAGAAACTTGCTCTAAACGCAAAAAAACCCTAACAAACAAAACAAAAAACCCAACCCAGAAAACCCACAAAGAAAAAAAAGGAGAAAAATCAATATTTAATGAAATTTTAGGGATTTATTGTGTAGTACCACATAGTACTGTAGTACTCTTCTGTACTAAGATCAAATTATTCCTTTTTCTATCAATGTTGGATCAATCGTACAAATGCAACAATGTCAGAACAACAAATATTACATAGGGAAACTGAGTAATACAAAATATTTTTTCTTTGTATGGCAGACAATAGTCTTACGAATCAAAATCATAAACCCTGGCTTACTCACTGTTATAAATTAAAACAACTTATAATATACTTACATGCACACACCAAAGTTTAAGAAATGACAGATTAACATAGTGATAGTTTAAGTTTATGTAATAAATATTTTAACATAATGCTCCCAGAACAGCATATGATGAGCGTAAGTCACTTCATTACTGAAGTAGGAAGCTAATTATTCTTTATAAACTGGATGCATTCTAAATCGCTTAGGCTTTTTATAAATCAGCCTTTTTACCCATAAAAAATTTTTACAATGTTATACCAAGAACATTTTCATCAGATTAAATTTTTTGACCAGTGTTCACAGCACAGTGCAGGCAAATAAATGTGGAAATGCAACATTTCGTACATGCAAACTTGACACGTTACATTCAGGTAACCCTCTCTTTTTCAAGTAATGAAAGAAAAAGCCCATACTGCTACCTAATACAATATCTATTAAAACAAACAAACAAACAAAACAAAAAGCAGCCCCCAAACATATAATAGTTGCTCTGGTAACAAAACTGGTTTCCTTCAAGAAAAACACAGCACAGCACATTAACTAACAGGCATAAAATAATTCACATACAATATCAGAGGTTTACATACCATCAAAAAGGCAAGGAAAAAAGCGAGAAAGGAAGGCAAAAGAACAGCAAAAGATACAGGGAAAGGGAATACTACAAAAGTGCTACATACTTCATGCAGTATGCAATATTTTTAAAGTAGGCCTGATTTGATTTTTATGGACCTAATATTGTAGCAGAATAACCACAAACCAAAAGCATTTAAATTTTCCTGTATCCATTCCCTCCTCCTGAGTGCTTTTTTAAAATTATTTTATTTCATAATAAATAAAGATAATAAATGGTAGTAAAAGTGGGAAAGAAATTTTCTAAAGAAATGTAGGCAGGAAGTTAAAGTTTTAAAGGTATCATCAGGTCTGATCTCCATGTAACCTGAGGCGTATACTTATTTATCAACAATAACATCACAGTTAGTTCTTGAATTGCATTACATTAAATAAGAACACCCAAACAGGTTAGGAGATGATGTTAATATTACCTTTGTAAAATGAGTGGGCAAAGCTCTGCTCAGGAATTAACTTGGCAAGGAATCCATGGTTCAAACTTGGGTGAGGGATAGATGGTATGACCACAACTGTGGAGAAAATCATGGAATCAAATGTGAGCCAGCTAGTATTCATGTGTGGCCTGGTCCACTGTGGATCCATGACAGAAATCCTATCTCATTGAAACATGCAAATATGGTATTATCAACAAAAAAAGGCATTTCTAAAGGGAAAAATCAAGTTCTGCATCAAGAGATAGGAAAGAGCATACCTATTATTTGGGCACTTCAAGAGCAACATTTACGGGGAAAAAGAGACACGGATATATATATGCAAATAGGCAAGACAAGAATGGATGAAATAGTTCACCGAAACTAGCAGTTTCTTAGTGCAGGACCATAACATATAATCAGGAAGGCACAAAAACTATGATTTCTCAAAACTGACAACATTAATTTACTATATTTAAAATAGAAAGCCTACAAGCACATTGACTTTAACTATCAGGTAAAAATAGCAAATTAAAACATCATGATGAATCAAAATAATGACAATGTAAATATGGTGTAAATTGGAAGAAAAATTCTATGACGAATGACAATTAGCAACTCCATAAATGAAGAAAGTAATTAAAGATCAATACAAGAACAAAAGCATACATTAAAAGTTTCATGGATAAATTCAGCTACTGTTTTCAGCTCTTTTAACACAGGAGGTAGAGTTATAATCAATCCAATCAAACTTGAAGAAAACCCACCAGACTGACAGTGCAAAATGCTTGAAACAAAGTAGGGTAAAATTTGCATCCCTAATTTCTGACAGCTTCTGACAGCTAACAGACTCCCTCCCTTTCAGGTTGAAGAACATATGTCAGTAAAACCACTACTACTGCTAGTAAAAATCACTAACAGTTCAGTAAAAGAAGGCAATAGCAATGTTTCCTTTCTATTATATTGTTACCGTAGGCTTTTAAATGCAGGCACCAACACAGCAGGACTCCAAGAAAGTACTCAGTCCTCCACTACTACCCTTTCACAAACCTCCTCACTCAAACAAAAGGAGTTCATGTGGGCAAGCAGCTGTGTTTGCTGTTCATTCCTTTCATGGTATAAAGATATCTGTTCTTCCTAACACAAAACAGATTCCGGAAGTTGTGTTGGTCAACTATCTTGTACTTTACAACTTAAAACTCTATCAGGAACCCTGTTTCCTTCTAATTATTTTCAAGCTAAAGAAAAATAAAGACACAAAAAAGCAACATAGAAATGAAAATTAGTAATACCATATAAGTAAATACACAGAATACTTGAAATCTGCCAATGTATTTTATAAAACAAAATTATTATATAGGAAAAAGTAGTATGTAATTTCCTATGAGGATCTTATGCTACTCATTAAAAACACTTTGTAAAATAATTACACATTTAAAAAAAAATTCAAGTAACAGTTAAAAAAAACAAATTTACCTGTACTTGTTGGTGAATTTATTTCTTGTCTGATATTTCTACCTGCCTGGCTCCCAGACCTCGCAGTTTCTCGTTGGGGTTCCAGTATATCACGGTATTTGGAGACCATCAGAACAGAAATAAAGTAGACTACTGCCAAAGCTAAGAACTGAGCCTGTTTGCTGTCGTCCTGTGTTTGAGAAAAAGAAATACATCTGTAATACTGGACATTTCCATAGAATTTTCATACAAGATCATTACAAAGCTGAATAAATAATACATTTCTGAAATGTTGTTTCTATCAGCATGGCAGCAAATAGATTACTTAGAAGACTTTATGGATTTTCAGAGGAGTACTATGCACACAGCACGTATTAAGTACTAAATTTTGGAGGTTATCTGGCAACTGCACAAATCTCTGGACCTGTGGAGCTTTTCAAAACAGAGGCCTCACTGTACTCTGAGTGCTTTCAAGGCTTCCCAGCAGCAAGGGCAACTATCTTTTGTTGCCCCAAGGATGAGACTCTGAAGGCCCCTGCCACAAGAATGTAAAGAGTACTACTACTGAGAGGGAAAACTAAGCTCACTGATGCTTCTCTGGCTGACACTGGATGCACAAGTAGGCATAACAGCTTCTGGTAACTTGTAAAAGCAGGGGGAATATACCACTGCTTTTCTTCCAGCAATAAATCCCAGCTTGTACATTCAGATTTCCCCTTCAAAAGCACTGTCAGCAGCAATTCTAGTTTTCCAGGACTCTTATTTAAGTAAATGCCAGGATCACTACAACTTAGCTGTCTTCTTTTCCTCTCATCCCACATAGTGGGCTGTTCAATGGCAATTGTCATCCATGGCTTAGATATCATCCTGATTGAATTTAAGTTGCTGTAGTTACACTGAAATGTCTTTTATTATTATTATTGCTACTATGGTGTAAAACTCAACCTGACAGAATTAAGACTTCAGCTTCTATCTACTCCTATAGTGGTTTCACCTTGCCTCCACAAGTATGTACTTTCTGCTACAAATCCAGTGCTTACTTTCCATGTTTTCTGTGTGTTATTTAACTTGGTTGCATGTTTTTGCAATTCTTAAAATAACTAGAAATTCTCTTACTAAGTTATTTCACAGAAATGCCAGAAACATATTTCCTGGTATTCCCTTCTCCACTACTTAAGAAGAGAATAGGTGACAGAAGATTGTCACTCAAATTCAAGATGATCAGGTCATCCCAGCAGATAATTTTTTGTGTGTCAAGTTCTACTTTCTTCTTTTTAACGCTATTTCTAACTTTGGTCCTCACTTCAAACCACTTGGACTCAGGCTGCAGAAGTTTAAACATAACATATATATTTGCATATACATAATAATAATTCCTATTGTACTACATTCAAAACCAAACATATTGTGGTGAATTTTTGTGCTAAAACACAAAAACAGTTGCCAAAAAATCTGAAAACCAGTTTTATATATATTTATATATAGTATACGTTTATGTTTAGCAGAAATAAAAATTGTCTATAAATCAACTGCAGTTCTGTAATAGATATAATAAAACTTCCTCCTAGTCTGGTTAGACAAGTTGTTGACACTTTTAGTAATACAATTTTAATCAATATAGGTCATAACTGAATTATTCTGGCTGTTGGTTAATATGACATCAAGGTTGAGTGTTAAACACAGTTAACTACTAAACTCAAATAGGTTAACCAATAAGATTTGAAAGTGCAAAAAGTGGCTGGTGGTTACAAAGCCACGAGCAGATGGTTTGCAGAAAATATATGAAGTGCGACACATGAAGGATATTTTTAATTCTGGTACAATCAAAATATAAGTGATGATTTTGCAGAAGAAAGAAATAAAATACATATTACTCACCACATCACGAAAAACAACTGCTCGTAGACGATTAATATCAACATCCTGAAGAAGCCTATCAGGGTCTTTTATGGGAGAAAGGTTGCCAGGGACATTTTCAAGGGGAGTCTAAAAATAAAAGGTAGTGAGATTTTTGTCCTCCCAAGTATCAAAGTATTTCCGTTAAAACCTTAATTTGACATTTTTTTAGACATTACATCAATCTTAGGTGATATGTTAGTACCAATATACTTCCAACATAATACTCAGACAAGGGCTCCAGAAATAATGCAATGTTTTGAATTATTTTCTTAATACTACTTATTTAGATATAAATTGTTACATCTTTCCAGTAGCTCAGAATAACTGTATCTCTACCCACAGTTAAGATAATAATTTGCACACAAAAGTTCATTTCAGATTACAGCTGTTTCATAGCAGAACAATAAAATATTTTGAATATGTGTGTTATGCTTGAAAATGCTAAACAGAAATATTAAAAAAATAATTTGTTAATTTTACTGAGACTTACTACAGACTACTTACAGAATAACTGCTACTAAAAAAACGTAGAGTAGTATGCTTTCTTTAAAAAATAATAATGCATTACAAATGATGCTTGAAAACCTAGAAGTCTCCTTATACTGATTTGCTTTGCACTGAATGTGACAGTGTGGAAAAATGTAATGTTTTTGTGAGATTTAATGAAATAATATTGTGAAGGGAGCTGAGTTTGTAAAGGCTATCTGAGAAAGTCTTTAAAGAAGAAAAACTACTGAATGTATTAATGAAAATACAGTAGCAAAAAAAAAAGAATCCTTTACATCATTCAATGTTTTGTATTTTAGCCATGGGCTGAACCAAATTTTTTCAGATTTTAGTTTCAGAATTCGCAAAGTCCTAAAGTTAAAAAAATAAAAAAGAAAAAAAGAAAAGAAAAAAGATGAACAATGGATTAATGAAACTGGAAAAACTAAGCCGTAATTGAATATTCAATAAGTTTTGTTCCTCAAATCAGATAGTAAGTACTGATGCCTAATACGCATGCAAAGATGTGTTGAAGTTACTGGGACTCAGATGTCCCACCAACAAAGATGTGATTGGAGGATTTCATCAAAACTGCAAGTGCCCTCACAGAATAAAATAGCTATGCAGCCATAAATGATCAGTGTGAATAAGGGGACTTCTTCTCGAAATCGAATAAGAGTGAAAAAGCTGTATAGAATTTCTCCAGTCATACTACTGCATTAAAATTTTCTTGTTTCAAACTACCTCCCTCACATACTTTTACCCTAAACCAGTTAATAGCAAAAACCTAAGCTTTTGCCAGATATTTGAGAAGGCAGTTACAATTATTTTCTAATCCTAAAAGCAGTGATTCAGACTTGTAATTGCTGTTACCTTGGCTGCTGCTGCTGAAGTTACACCCTGTAGTGCATCTTGAGTTTTACTGCCAATTAATGACGTCTTGTTCACTCTCTCTCTTTGCCTTTGCCGACATTCTAAGCAGTTTCTCACAGCCACACAACAAACTAAAAAGAAGAAATGAAAATGCCATAAATTAGAATATTTTCTCATTATTATATCCAGAACACCAATTACCAGTGTCTACAACTAGTTTGATCTGTCCAAATAGTAAATGAAATATAGTTATCATACTAGAGACTCTGTCAGTACCAAGAAAGTATTATGGTGACTTATTAGTTTCATTCTTTAGCTGAACAACTAAATATTTTATGTAACTGCTGTATCACTATATTGAAATGGAGCTCTCATATGTTATTGATTAGCTATCGACACTTAAAATCTGAAAGTACTTATGTACAGACAGAATGGAAACAAATAGAAGGTGGTTATTGGGAATTTGATAAAAAGATTGATAATTGAGAATACACTACAAGTTTTATAACAGGAGCAGTAAAATTATCAATGACATAATAAATGGTATGAATAATAACAAGACATAATTGGCTTACAAAAAAAATTCATCGTTCGAGAGATGAAAATGTATGCAGAACATAACCTTAGCAAAATCAGCATCATGCCAGATGAGAGTCAAAATTTGATGTTTACAAAGATAAAGTGATATAGCTTGCATAGAATAGTTTGTCTTATTAATAAATTTTTAAATTTCTTACATTTATAAAGCAAATAGCAAATAGTGAAGATAGGTGCCATACTGTTGCAACATATATTTAGGTCTACAGTGCCTGCACAAGCATCCCATGCTTTTTATCTTACAGAGCCTACAAAATGTCTTAAAAATTCATGGAGACTTGGATAAGAACACCTGCAACATGCAGGTAGTAAAGCAACTTTAAGATAAAAAACATTTATCCAATTACTTACTTATATTTAACATTTTTACTCCCCCCAAATATATACAGCTTGAAACACATAAGAAAGAACAATTTCAGACATGTCATTTTTGTGGTTAAATTGAATCAACTTTAAAAATGTATCAAATCAATAATAAATGGGATTTTTATTTTATCACATCATACTCTACGAGTCCTTTCCTACATGTCACTATTCAATCCATCCACACCTCATTGATCTGTAAGTAATTATTTAAAATGTACTGTCTACCGACTTACCAAGCCTTAGGCATTGTCGCATTAGACCTCCAGAAGACATGTTTTTTTCAGCTTCAATCTCACTAAAATTTAGAGAACTGGCAAATACTAGTACATCAACCATTGCCATCAGACGGCTGAGAAACGTTACTGCTGTCTCTGCTGACATTCCTTGCGTCACTTCAATATTTTCCAATTCAGTCTTTAAAAGGAGATAATTGAATTAAACAGTTTGAACACAACTGAAATATAAAGATGGCACGTAAGCACAGAAATCTAAATTGTTATGTTTAATGATAGATACATTGAAATGTTATTTAAAAATCTCCTACTGACACCATTAACATAAGTTGTGAAATTCAAAGACAGTATGAGGAGTGAGAAAATTATTTACATTCACATGCTGTAATAGATGAGAAAAAGTCTATTATAAATGAGAAAGTTACTAGCAATTAGATAAAGACAATGTATGGGCAGATAGTAAAACAATGCATGGTGTATCCCAGTGCAATATACTCTTACATTCTTCCATAGGTTATGCAAACAGACAAGTAATGGATGAAAGGAATTACTCTCTGTATATCTTTTACGTTTCTTATATATAAACAAGCAAATGTGAGGAGTGGAGTGGGAAAAACCAGACAGTTTTGCTCTGTTTCCATGAATCAGTTAATTCTCCTTGAGAATGCTTACAGCATTCAGAAACTTGACAGAGTTCAATTCTCCTGTAGCTCAGAAGCGAGTATGTTTGCTCCCTGAAGATAACAAGGGGGGGAAGTAAAAATGTGACAAGCGATATTGGGGTCAGCTCACTCCCAGAGAGTGGCCATTTCTTTTCTGATGTAGTGTTGGGCTCTCCGTAGCAGGAAGCCCCAGAAGAAGGCTGAAAGAGCTTAATATTTCTGAAAGCTAAAAGGGGATCACATTTTTCTCCAAAAAGATGCTTAGATGCACAGAGTCATGTTTTCAAATACATTCATGTGTCTAACATGCAGATAAATGAGGAAATAGTCAGCCCAAATAAAAACATATATATCTGTTTAAACACTTTTACTTCTGGATGTAGGCAAAAGTTAAAAAGGTATTTAGTACTGGTCTGTGTCCAGAATTATATGCCTAAATACTATTTTAAAAATTGTTTACAGGTGGCTGATTCTTATTGATTGTCAACAGGATTTCCAATTGCAAGGCTTTCTGAACACAAAATTTAGTCCCTTTGAGATGTACTACTTTCAGTGTGCTTGTTTATTTTTATTTATTTGCTTAAAAGTATTTATAAAAAAATAATTTTATGCTCTTAAGGCCATTTCATTTCAAAGGAAAAAAAAATACAGAAACCTAAAAATTCCTTAATTTCCATACTCCTAAAAAATTACTAGCCTCACTCATGACTTACTTTTTAGAATATTTTTACATCCAAAATTGTAAAAGTGCAAACTCTGCCAATCAGTATTAAGGAAACAACTGTTTTGAAAGATGAAAGATATAAAGTGGCATGTGTCACCACAATGATAGATACCCCTTCATCTAATTTCTCTTAAGGATGTAACATGTCGGTTACATGAGTGATTTGGGAAGGGCTGTCATCTGTCTAAACTGCCCAACAGGATCAGAAAAACAGTAAAATGACAACTCTCAGAAGAAAGATTTTTGGCCTATCTTCTTTAGCCAGGGCTCCCCTGTTTAGTTTGTGCTGTGTTCCTACATTTTGGAAAAATAACTTGGTGGTTTTTTATAACAGACCAGAACATGATTTTTTGAAAGTACTCACCCGAAGAAAATACATTTGCATAACAGTCTGCTAGAAAAACTTATAGGTGGTTATAGAAACTTGAACTTCAAACTCATGCTTGAAATAACATCAGGCTTGCTTGCAGCCTACTGACTGCCTGCTGTTGATTTTTCAACTTTATTGTGTCAAACATAGTCTTAAACCTCTCAGAATACCTATTGTCTTTTTATTTTTATTTCTGTAAGTTATGTAATAAATTCATTTAATATAATACTTTAGTGTATTTGTACCAAGATTTTTGCAAACTTTGAATTTAAAAAAAAATTTTTTTTTTTTTTACAAATTTCCCTAAAATTCTGCTAGATGAAAGAAAAAACCAACTAACAGGTTTTTTTACACCAAACTTACCATCAGTTCAACCTGTTAAATACAGCACATTGATATTCTAATAGCATTTAAAATAAGCTCTATTATTGATCAAGCTGCCTTCAGGTATTAGCAATATTTTAGATAGGGGTAGCTCAAAAACTCTTTGAAAAGTGAACTGATCACCATTTCATGACTACTCAGTATACTTTTAAGTAACAAGTCTCCCATATAATTGACATGTTCAGGACATCAAGAGTTTTTGTATTGACAACTGCATTTATAACTTAAATTAGCTCACAGACTGGACTACATTCAGTCCAGTAGTAACAGTAAGCATCAGACTTGATGATGCATTAAGTTACTCAAGGGAAATATGGTAGGAAAAGTTATATGACACCAAATATATTCCTATTCCCATCCTACTATATGATATAGAAAAATAATAGTAATAATAACAATAACAACAAAAAAGTGCCAAAATATTAAATGATCAAAAATAAGGTATTTTTGAAAATGAAAAAACCTGAAACTTACAACCGCAATACTAACCTTAGAACCCTGGACATGCAACAGACAAAACAGACAACAGATCACAACAATAAAAGAAAAAAGAAAATTATTTAAGTTAACTAAAAATACAAGGTAAATTGAAACAAATTAGTATCTTGGAATTATACATTTGTTTAATTTTTAATTAGAACAGCAAACCATTTAAGCTCAGCATGAACATTTGAAAATAAAGACTTCTAAAATAGCTATGCACAAGGAAAACTTTAAATCTTGTATTATGGCATTTCATGTAAACACTGATTCTTCCAAACCAATGTACATCTTTTATATAGTACATAGAGTAATTTTATGAAGCAATGTAAACCAAAGTAATGTTTCAACTGATTACATAGAAATGAGCATTTTACAAGCCATTCAACTGAAATGTAATAAAGTAGTTAGTCCTTGTATGAGTAGGCAAATATGTTTAAAATACTTTGACAAAACAAATATAAATCATAAAAAGCAAACTAGTTCTTCATGCATAATGCTGCTTCCTTAGAAGCAACACAAGATAGCTTACTATTATATTACATTTGGGTGTGATTTCTCCAACGTAAACCAATATCAAAGTAGATATTAGAATGTTTTTGAACCACAGAAAAAAAAATCAAGATTTACTAAGCCCTTTAGACTGAGTTAGTCTTCAAATTCCAATGTTCACAGTTAAATATATGTTTTAAATTTTTACATTTTAATTTTAGGTAGAAGTACTTTCTCTATTATCATAGTGGGCTAAGAACAAATTCTTAAGTTTCCACTGGTTCTGTTTTAAAAAGAAAAAGAAACTGAATTTTCAAGAGTATGTCAGTACTGTTGTCATTTAAATAGTAGAAAAATCTAATCTAAAAGAAAGAAAACAAGCTGAAATGAATGGCTTTCTTTCCTTTTGAGACAGAAAATACTATTCTCAAAAAGTTTTTAAATGAGTCTTCTCTTTTTTGTAGCTAGATGCATCTCAAGAATTAACCTGTGGCTATTATATCTCAATTACTAGCTGACAATTCTCATATCAGTATGCCACTGGTGATTCTCAGCATTGTTATAGATCACACAGCACCTGTGGCATCACATGAGTCCTGAACATGATAATGTTAACACTATACACAGGAATTACATCTCGGCTTTTAATCCACAGACCTAACGAGACTATCTTTAAATGTCTAATGGAGTTTTGTGGACCATTCATATAACACCAGCAGCCCTCAGATCACAATTTGAGAGCTGATGTTTTGAGGTCAGCTAGTAAAAAATTGAATTATAGACCTCATAGAATTAGTGGAAAAAACAAACTGATTGCAAAAAGGTCTGGAAATTTACTCTTAATTGTCACATATATTTAAACTCCTCAAATTTCTTTTGCCTTGCTCAATGACCTCAAGTCCTTGTCACAGTTGCTATCCTTGTAGCAAGCAATGATTATTTCAAACTGCTAGCTTGTACACAAAATGTTTTATCTGGCAACCAGCTTCTATTTACAGAAAGCATCTTTTTCGCACTTACACACCGTCTTAACAACATCTTCCTTCTGGCTGTAATCTTTTTAAAAAAGCCTCAAAGACCTCCCCCACAGAAAGGAGAAAAAAAAAGGAAATAAGTATTTTATATTTTATGACCTCCCTCTAATTGTGGCAGAGTTATCTTATATCCCAAATTTAATAAGCAAGACGTCAGGATCAAAAGTGGAACACACTCCAGTTTATATTGTAAACCAACAGAACTGTTCATATTTTTTGTTAATATTTGCTCCAGTTTTAAATTGTTTCAGATATACAATTGGCAACACTTTAAAACCACCAGCATTTGAAGCAAGTTCTTGTACAGACTTTGGGACAGAGGTAGTATAGAATGGAAATTGAGGGAAATATTAAAAATTGTGAGAATAGATCATTGTGGATTACAGTAAACTTTCCCCTGTATTCCATACAAACACATAATCTTTTCTGCATTCTTCAGTCACTCACAGATTTGTGAGTGGTTTGTTTGCACAAATAATGCATGTTTTCTTTTATTTTCCTTTTTTTTTTCTGTTCATATTTAAAGACTTCTATTTAGATCATCCTAGTTCGGATTAAAAAAAAAATCAACCAACCAAACCAAATGAAACAAACAACAAAAAACCCCAAAACAACAAGACAAAAGGCAGGTTTCTACTACAAAAATTCAATAGTGAGGAAATTTCATAATTAAGACTGTCCGTTCTACAGCAGACAAGGAATCATGGAGTAATCTTTCACCCAGCCCAGAACAACTGCCATTTCACTCCAAATCCAAACTATGCAAAGGAAAAAAAGTCTTTTTGAAATGGGAAATTCTCAAAACATTCATCTTTTTAAAGAAACTGTGACAATACTGCTTTTTCAGCAAGGGAGGGAAAGCAATGCAGAATCTGTTGCACAGAAGAAAAAACCCAAAACTGCAATTGCTCCAATGTTCTCAAAGTCATTTCTCTAAATTTATCCTTGGTTCTTTTCTACAAATAGATTAATTAATTCAAGCATCTAATATTCTATTCTACTAATGAGAAATACGTGAAATGCCTTTTAAAAAAATGAGAGGCAATGGGACACATGTAAGAACAACTAACTCTATAGCAGATTGTTGAGAAGAGAGTTTTTCAACAGAATTTAGGACTGTTTAAAAACAAGCAGCCCAGGAAGAACTCAGACTTACTTGAACTTGGACTCACACACTGAAGTCAAGGAACTGTGGACAAGTAGGCCTACGAGACAGGTAAAAAAGGAACTATGTGTTTCTGTCTGTCATCTTCTCCATTAGAAAACAAGCAAGGTATCTCATAAAAAGAAGCTGGATCCAGCTCCAGGTTAACAATCATTCCAGTCACTGGACCCTATAGGGATCTGGTAGATGTCTATATCAGAGATAGCTGAATCATTTGTTACTGTGGAATAGCTCTCCACTGGCTAGAAATCTAGGCCATATATAAGTACTTCAAGTGGATACTTAAATTTACCCTAATCTCTTCCTGAATTCCACCACTGTTTTAAACATCCTGAAGTTAAAGGGTGGAATAACCTTTACTCTATGTTCTTTTTGCTCTCATAGTTCATTATTCCAGACCAAAAAGTAAATTAATTTTTATAAGCATATGTAAATACAGGACCTACACCACAAATAAAACCCTGTAAGAGGAAATAAGTAAGAACTACTACTTTAAAATTTCAATATGGGCCCAAAAGGCCTTCAGTGGCAATATTGGAGACTCACCATCCATGAAAGTGAAGAAGGAAGAAATTAAGTAAAATGAGCTCATACATGTTGATAAATTGAATATATGTATTCTACAGGATCTACAAAATATGAGGGGTTTGATACCCCGAAAAAGCTCCACAGAACAGAAATATAGAGGATCAGAGACTAAACAAGATGAAGATGCTATGGGTTCAAAGAGGCACAGCAGAAGATATGACTCAAGCCTACAAAGTCATAAATGATATGGAGCTGAATAAAGACATAATTAACCACTCCTTTCATAGCATAAACAGTAAGACACATTGTGACTTTATGCATTTAAGCAGACTTTAAAAAGACAAAGACAAGAAGTGCTTCTAAAGTTATATAATTGCTTTGTCAGGCTCAATGTCATAGAATATCATGGAGGCTAAAAGCATAAGTAGGTTCAAAAAAGATTAGATAAAATCTAGAAAGATAAATTCCTCAGTGGTTATTAAATATGACATCCCAAACACCCTCTCTAGTTGTTGAAATCCTAAATGCTGAAATCAAGTTTTAGTAGAACAATCAATATGCTTGCTCAGACTTCCCTATTTTAATGTAAGCTGCAAAGAGTCACTGTTGGAGGCAGAATGCTAAAGCAGCTGGGTCCTTGAGCTGACCCTTGAGGCAGCTTATGTAGCCTGTGAACAGCTTCCCTTTCTAAGAGTAGTGCAGTACTGCTTGAGTGGACTTCTAATACCATGTCCAGATTAAACTACTGAATCACAAAATCACACAGAATCAAAGAATGGTTGAGATTGGAAGGGATTCATGAAATGCAACACAAAATTTGGACTCTTTATCTTGTGGATAAAAACCCATTCACTGATATAATTCATTACAACACAGTAGGTTCCACTTGAAAATCAAGAAATACTTTTCCACTGTGAGGGTGACTGACCACTGGCACAGGTTGCTCAGGGAGGTGATGGAGTCTCCATCCTCCGAGACAGTCAAAAGCTGTCTGAACATAGCCCTGCGCAAGTGGCTCTAGGTGGCCCTGCTTGAGCAGGGGTTTTGGAGCAAATGACTTCCAGCATCCTCCTTCCAGCCACAACCATTCTGGTGATTCTGTTAGTCTTAGAGTCAGTGAGGGAGAAAGCCTATTGGCTCCTTCATCCATTGAGAGTTACCCTGGCAGAAAGTGTCACTTGCAGACCTGTTTTAGGTGTTTCTATGCAGCGGAGACATCATATAAATCTTACAATTTCAAACCTCTTTTCTCTTCCCATTAGCAGCAATTGGAAGGAGGAGAGTAAGTCAGTCTTCTGTAACAGATTGCTAGCACTGAACTACTTTGCCCTTTCAAGCCTGAGAAGAAATATATCTCAAACTAGCAATCCATCCACTTTCTCCACAGCAGTTCAAGGATGCTCAAGTACTAGAAGTCTGAAAATCAGTAGGAAACTTCTTTTCATTCATCATATGGTGGATATTCACAAGCGGCCTGATGCACAACAGGGCATCTCTTCCCTTCAAAGCTGTCATTCAGAACAATACTGAGGGAGAATACCTTCCCTAAGAAGGAGGAAGCATGTGCTTCACTCTTTGTATCTGTCACAATGATGAATATATCCACCTTCCTTCTAATGTTTATGGATGGGCAATGACAGAACAGGAATGGAGTTGAATGGGAGGGAAGAAGCTCTCTGCTAGGTGGAAGTGATTATGAAATTATTGTCTAGATGAGGTGAGAGTAATTTGTGATTCTATCAATTACTTCTGACTCTACTTGTACACTTCAAACAAAAGTGATCTTTTGGGTTTTGTAGGTTTTTTTGGGTTTTTTTGTTTGTTTTTTTTTTTTAATTCCACAGAGTATAATTAATTGAATTTGAAGCCAGCTACTGATCTTTCAGTGAATTACTTTATTTCACAATTTATTTTGTTGTCCTAAGCAGACGGTAGAGCATTCAAGTAATACACACAGTCCCCACGTAGTGGAAAAGTGCATGCCTAATATACAAATTTGAAAAATGTACTCTTTTGTATCAATGCATGAAAATCATTGTTATTTAGCATGGCAGTATCAACATACAGCATTTTAACAAATAGATGTGTAATTTATAAAGCTGTGCCAGCTAACTACCTACACCCACTCACACAGATATGTATCATCCAGAATAAATAAAGGGAAATGGTGAACCTCAAAATTATTTTTCCATAGAATGGCTCTGCAGTATCATAAACCAGGATAAGAGCTAAAACCCTCAAAGACCATTCAAAGGAATTGCAGCCCAATTAATGTTGTGCCCATTTTATATTTTTATATAAAAGATGTCAAAACATCATCATTTTCAAATGATGCATAAGATGTTTGTTTAAAAAATATCTCCCAATGTCTTTCTATCTAGAGAATGATAGCACAGTCTACATTTCAAGATGGCTCATCATCTGCAAAATCAAGACCTTGTTGTCATTCTTATGACTAGGGACAATTAAAGTCTTTCACTTTTGCTTATAGCAAATTTTTTTCCAGTTAACACAGTGAAAACAATAAAGAGATAACATTTTACCATTAACTGCCTGTCTGAAAGTCATATTAATGTTTAGCCAATCTCTAGCCATGCATTCATAGCTTTCAAATAAAATACTTCAAAAAAAGTTTTTTCCTAGCTAATTAGAAGTAACAGTAGAGGCAAATTAAAGTAATCTCAGCTGCTAAATGGCTACAACAAGGAACTGAGCTTTTACTGCCAAACTATATTTGTAGCCTCCATTGCCTACGAGCCACATTTCAGAGGAGCCTCTTTGTACCTTCTCGGTCTCATTGTCTCCATTTCAAAGACCAATTAACTACAGATGCTTACAGGATGCCCAAGATAAAACATTTAGTATGAAAGAAATAGTCACAGATACTATATGCACAGACAAGGCATCACATTCAAACACTGTAATTACTCGTCAGTTACGCAATATTTACAAAATATTCCTCCCCTTTTCATGAAGCTACTTTGCCTGCCTGAGTCGTGATCTGCTAAGAACTTAAAACTTACTAAGAATATTGAAGTGGATAAAAATATCAGTTATTTTCAATACAAGATTAAAAAGGAAAAAAAAGGGGGAAAGGACCTCCTGAAGGAAGAAGTAAATAGAGCAGTGAGAGGATGAGTTCTGGTATCATTTGGCATGGAAACAAATAGCAGCCATGCAAAACAGATTCATGAATATCAATAAAGCATGCAATTTTATTACAAGAATCATTGTCCTAATGGTCTTCCTTGTAAATGAAATGTTAAATACCCATGAAATATTATTCTTACTTAGTACTACTTCTCTGATAAAATTACAATTTCAAATGCAAAATCTTATAAACACTCTGTATATCAAAATGTAACAGTTTTGATTGTAAATATAAAATTTTTGTAAGAAATTCGCAGAGAGGGGACAGGAGTCCCTAAAGAAGGAAGGTCACGTGGAAATAGTGGTTGGCACTATTAACAGCAATTTCTAATATGACCACCAGGTGGAAATATTGTACTTACAGTTGGGGATGTGGCTGCTGACAGCAATGGTAAAATTCCTCCACAAGCAATAATAATATTGTCTACCATCTGGGAAATGAGGTGTATTGTGTTGTGTACAAAAATAATATTTTCATTGCTATTGACAAAGTCCATCACAGACTTCGTGGAGTGACTGCAAGAACAGAAGAAAGAATGAATTAAAAACAAACAATTAAAACAAAAGTTTAGATAAACTTAATGTTTGCAACCAGACTGTGAATGTTTCTTGATACATTAGAGAAATATGGTCTACAAAAATTTGCATGTAATTTGTATAAAAATACAAAGTTGACTGCTATCCATTTTCACACAGGATTAGATTCAGATACTAAGTTGAGAACAATGGCTTATAACTTTTTATTCCCATCAACCAGCACTTTAATTCACAGACAGTTCTGCTAAAATCAGTGGATTTGCTTCTGCAGCATGGAAGTAATTATTTAACATTAAGAGTTCACCATGCTGCACAAGTGCCATTTGAAGTGCACTTGATAACACTTAATGATAATACCTACCACTTTTTTAAAGGAGACACTTGATAACATGATCATACCTTGATCTAATATTAACTTTATTAACTGATATTAAATTTACCATTAACATTAGCTTTGCAAAACACAGATGCTAATAAGATTAGGTGACATTTCAGCAACTCCTAATTCTTGAGAAATTGTCCCATGAAACAGTCACTCCCAGAAATATTAAACCCCTGTGTGAAAATATTGAGAAGTACTCTGGTCTGTAAGTATGGTCTTTCTCCAAAGTAACATTGTTGTCAGTCAGCAAACAAAATTAAAGGCTTCAACTGGAAATATACAACACAAAGTACAATCCTCTCCCACATACTTGGCCAAAAGAAAAATATCAAAATTTTCTATTTCCAAGTGAGTATCACAGAACAGTTTACCAAACTGGAAATTAAATCCAATATAAATTTCTCCTTTGATATAACTATGCTCAAGTTTTCTGAAAATTAACTATTCTGTACTGGAAATTAGATTAAATTGTATCTATTGTATTATAGTTACTTGAATATCTCTATTAACATGTACAAAACCCCCAGGAAATCACATTGCTGTCACAAGATATAATATAGCCACCAAGACTAACATCAAGCAGGATCTGGACTGAAAAAAAAGAAATTTGCTTATAGAAAGAGTGTTTCCTTAGAAAATGTAAGAGAAAAGAGGTTTTATTTATAAGGCTTGCAGGCAAAGAAGCTCTCTTTTAATTGACCAGTTAAGAAAATGCCCACTAGCAGACACACAAGTTGTCCTCATGTCTGGAATAGAAACAGTAGATTATAATGCTAAACATAAGCTGAAAGAGCAACTCAGTTTAGTTAGGTATGTATGAGTTACACAATCCCTCAAGAAAGCAGAAATTACCTGTGAAATAGAGCTGTTACAGGCTGGGAAGGAGCAAAAAGAGAAGACAGAAGATACAGAAGGGCACTTTAGCTAACACCAACTCTTTCCCTTCCCACTATCCCAGTAACATCCCCTCTAGAAAACATCTAATTTTTCCTTATTGATGCAAACACAAATCAGGAGTTAAAGAAGAAACACCCACTTACCTTCTCCAAACATGTACGTCTGTTTCTAGTGCAAAAAGCAAGTCTGTCAGGAGACGCTGGTGCATGGGAGACCATTTAAACTCTGGAATACGAAACATAGTTGTGCGTGGACCTGGACTAAACTGCCGTCGCTGCTCTTCCGTCATTGGCATTCCTCGGAATCCCAAGTCAACACGTAAATCCCGGTCTTGCTGGGTGACAGATCGACCCTGTACTGCCTACATCAACAGGTTAAAAAACCATGTCAACTTTCTGCAATGTGTTTTTGAATGCATAAGATGTTTGTTTAAAAAATATCTCCCAATGTCTTTTTATCTAGAGAATGATAGCACAGTCTACATTTCAAGATGGCTCAGCATCTGCAAAATTTGAGAAAGGATAGGCTAACACGACTCAGCAACAAACTACAGGAGATATTGATATTCCAAGGCAGACAGCATCCTTCAGTAAATGAGCTGCTCCAATACAAATCAACCAGAACTGAGAGGCTTTGGCTGGCTTCCCTTTCAGATATTCACCAAGGTTTTACAGTTAAGTTCTTCACTTGAAGTATTACAGAAAAGACCAAATGTAGCACACGCAAGGTCAGCAGTGACAAGACTTTGTTTACAGGAAACAACTACATTTTTGTGCTGACAACACAATTTTCTTTGAAGATTTGACTCAAAATGGACAAACTACACAGTGATAGTTTCAAGGAATCAGTGTACTTTTAGAGAGCTCCTCATTTTTCAAAACCAATTTATTTATCTGGTCTTTTTAGCAGGATCATTAGGGAATTAATTCTAGTCTCCTAACACTTTGTTAATTCGTTAACAGTTTTATGGATCCTCAGGACAATCTTTAGATTCTCCCAACAGGTGGTGGATATGAATTTCTTCCCTTTTCAATACCTACATAGTCATAAGTATTTCTACTTGATGATCAAAGACAAAAGTAAAAGATACACATAGAGGATATGATAGGATGATGATATGCTATGCTATGCTATGCTATGCTATGCTATGCTATGCTATGCTATGCTATGATACACAGAGAGGATATGAGTATACAGTGAAGGTAAAAGTAGTAAGGAACAAACATTATCACTGAATTTGAGGTAAATATTCAAAACAACAACAACTTATAACGTACAACATCTCTGAAAGGGAGAAATACAAAGTCTAATCTTTGAAATTACTTTTAAGTGACTTTAGATTAGTTTAAAACTGACAAAATAGAAAATATACTTGCTTTGCTCACATATTAATTTCCCAATCTCAGCATACTATTTTAAATCTGGGCATTAAAAAGCAAAAGAGAACTTTACAAAACATTTCTGCTAGCAATATAAAAATGGACATGGCACTGAAGTTGAGATGAAAAGTTTCCTGTATCTTTAGTCAGATTTTGATCTCCTGTAGCCTGCATTTTGAGAACAGGGCAGGTGTCCTTCATTCAATTTGACCTATTGGGAGCAAACTGGTTACTGTTGCTTTCATTTCCTATGTTTTTCTTAGAGTTAACTTTAAATGATTATTTTCTTTTTTTCTTATCTAAGATTTGAAATTTTTTGCATGAATCTTGTGCATAGTGCTTTCAATTCTATTTTCAGTCTTTCCTGGTTGGGAACATAGAAAAGAGTGAATTTTATATTCTTCAATATTTGATCTATTATTGATAAAGGAACTAACTTTCCTTGGAAGTAAGCGGTAGTTCCCTTGAACAAAAGACAGCTTGCTTCTTACTGATAAGGCGGGGAGCTGACTGTAGATATGTGTTCAGAGAATTTGAGGTTAGCAACTCCATTCACATACCACTTTTTTTGAGTACAATTACAGGTAGCTGTCATGTCAGCAGCAGTAATAGAATCATAACTGTACCATGAGTGCTTTCATCTAGTCAATTGATGGAAGAGAAGGGCTAAAAGCAGAAGAATGGCAAGGAGGATGGTAGATTCACTCAAGTGACCTTGTATCTGGGAATGCCGAGGCCTGAAGAATATCAGAATGAGAAACCCCAGATATTATGGCTACTGCTGTTTATCCTCTCTCTGTTTTGAGAAGTAGAATTTACATGCAGATATAACATAGGTGTTTACAGAGACTTGGAGGCACTGTCAAGGACATGCTTGAGCTCTCTGCTTTTAGAGAGAGATCAAAGCTCAGAGACCACAAGAAGCACAGGGGAGATCACAGCATGGTGTTAAACTACGTGTGCGTTGGCCCTTGATAAATGGGTGCAAATCGCAGACCCACTGCCCCTCAGGATGGACTGAGCCTAATGGTGCCTGTCTGTGTTCTCGCTTGGGTGTCTCCACCCAGGTGTTGCTTCGGGATCTTCTGGTTAGTGAGGCTATGAAATAAATTTACTCTTTGCATTTCAGCTGTGGTTTTGTGGTTGTTCGGACTGTGTTGACTCACACACCAATAATACCATATTTGCAAGAATGGGTTTTGATGTGAATTGTCATTGCATAAACAAGCATGAAACACAACTATCTGCACTTAGGTGGCTGGTCTTTAAGTCATTTTCAGTGGTCTCAAGGAGATCAAATCTAATGGAGCAGTCACCACATGTGCAGCAATCAAAACTCCAACCCCACCTCTGCTGTAAAAATGCTAAAATTAACATTGCTTATTACTAATGAAAACAATAATTTTGTATTTATGTTTTATCTAATAAATTTCAATCTTTTCTTTATTAACGTTAACTTCATTTTAAGAGAGAATATTTAACCATGGACAGCTTAGAGTTCACAGGGTATTTCAAAACACCCAAAGAAGAGATTAGAAAATAACAATTCTGCTGGTTGCTCAGTTGATAATTCTTTTAAAGAAAATTATTTAAAAGATATATTAATGGATACATATTTTAATCAATTCATTGTAGTTTGTAATTGATTTTAGTGGGAAATTACTGTAATTTAAGTAATATGTGTAGACTCAAAGGAGCTAAACAACTTGTAGAGTCAGACTCATGATGAGTACACAGTTTGTAGTAATATGCGGATCCAAATGATACATTAGAAATTTTGTGAGTGGCTAAGAAGAAAATATTTCAAAACCATTTTTTATTTCCTATGTTCGAATGATCTGATACTAGCCCATTAAGATCTATGTATCATTTTAATCCTAACAAATAATTATAGGCTTGAGGAATCTACATTTTTATAATTCAACTATTCTTAGGTTAAATTTATCAAGAAAATTAGTTAGAATCCAGAAAAGACCCAAAGTCACACCAACAGGATTTTCTACAGTAGCTAGTACTAAGTCAGATTATCTTTTTCATTAAAGATTTTCCTTACAAATTCACTGTGTTCATGGGTGCATATATGTATGTAGCAAATTTCACTTGTCTTTTACTCTTTAAACAAAAGTTCACATTTCAAAAGAAAAAAACAAACAAAAAACCCCACAAAAACGAATGCTCTTTTTCTTGCTATCATCCTTTCATTCCACTTATCAATTTCCATGGTATTAATAATCTTTAATTTTAAGACTTAAAACAAGGTGATAACTGATAATAAGAGATAATACTATTTCGATTGAGAGCTTTCAGGGCTTTTTCCTTATTAAATAGAATGCTTTTAAATATAAGGATCCCTACACAAGGCTTGATAAGGTGTCAGTGATGTTATGAGGATTTTCATAGTTATGGAAAAAACACAAGAGAAGCCGCAACTGTTTTTTATAATACCTGCCTGGGGAATGCAAGAGCTCCATATGGTTTTCTCTTAAAAACAGAGGTTCTTACCATAAAAGAACAGACTTAGAAGTGAGTGTCACTGGTCTGAGTGGCTTTGGGTGGTTGTTTTTTGGTTTTTTTTAAGGGAAATTATCTCTTTTGGAAAACAAAAGGTTGTTTCAATAACTTAAATGCCCATTCCCTGGAGTTTTTCTGAAAGTATTGTTGCTATGAAGAACAAAGCGGGCAGGCTGATCTATATTCTTTCATCACATGACAGGTCCTTTGCGTGTACTTGAGCATATCCCTGAAACTCTTTCTTCTGTCAATTGGGTAGACACTATGCAGTACTGGGTGGAGCAATTTTTGCATTTTATGCTTGCTTCTTCTTCCGTAGTTGCAGTAAGTCTGCTTAACTTGAAAATCCTAGGAGATAAATACTGATATATATACCAGCCATATAGTCAGCTAGTAAAATCTTGAAGGTAGTAAATTCTACCACCTGATAACACCCTTAAAAACAATCTTTGATTACGTGCAACATTCTGTGAACAACTGTAATAAATATTTTCTATACGGACATGAAAGACTTCAGAACCCTTATACATTATGGCATTTTTAAAGTAATTAGGCCTGAAAGATGGACACTTTTCATATAATTGAAGAAATACACTTCAAACATCTCTCAGCTCTCAGACTATTAATTTATCACGCATCAATGAACGGTGATTACACCAGACATATACACGGCTACTTGAAATTTACCTGAGTTGTGGTAGTTGTCTGGATCTTCCTTATCTCCTTCCCTGCTTCCTTACCATCATCAGATCTTTCTGTATCTGATATTATACTTCCTGCATCAACACTAGGTACAGTTTTGCTACCAGAAGACTCTGTCTCAAGAGTTGTGGCAGTCATTTCAGCATATTCTAATCCTTTAGATGATGAAGACAACTCCCTTTCAGAAATGCTACTCATTCCATCTGAAGTTGTGTGAATCTTGAACTCCTTGTCCTCTATTATATTTGAAGCACAAGTTATATCTACACTACCCGTCATATGAGCAAGCAATCCCAAATCATCATTTACACCAAGATGCATCGGTGTCTCTTGAACATTTGGAATAGAAATGTGATTACTTGAAAGTTCAGGTAGAAGTTTCTCCTCTTGACTAGGTATTTTATCAAAGAGAAATGAGGTATTGTTAGTAGAAGGTTCATCTTTCTCATCAGCCAAAGTTATTAATGGACCATTATCTTTCTCCTCATTCTTCTTAATAATACCCACGCTTCCATGAACATTGTTTTGGAGCTTCTCAACAGCTGCACTATATACATTATCTAGAAGAGATTCAACTTCTACAAGTGCACCATTTTCTCCAGTTACCAGTGTCTCTGGTGATAAATCCATATCATCAAGTTTTACTTCAGTAGCTTCTACTTTTTCAGCTTTTATATCAACTAAAAGATCATGAACTTCCACATGCACTCCTCCTCCCCCGGGTCTCTCAGCAGTTCCAAGCACATCATCTGACACCTTTGAAGCCATGAGCAAGTCCCTTGTATCTGTACTGACGGGGTAATCTGTTTCACTTTCTGGACTCTGACTTTGTGAAAGATCTTCTATCTCTCGAATTTCCATGCCACCTTTTGCTCCAGTTGTCTGAGAGGAAAGACCTGAGATGGTGCTTACATTCCCCTTCTTCCCCTTTTTTATGTTTTCTTCCTCTTGCCTTTGATACTCTTCATACATTTTTGCTAGATATTCCTTGTGAGCCTCATATGTGACCTTAAAAAGAAAGGAATAGATTATGTGGCTGAATATACACGACATGAACTAGGACAAAAATTACAAGAATCTTATTCACACATTACATACAGTTTACAAAGCGTTTAACAAAAAAATGCCATCTTGACATAAATAGCGATAGCCACCAGATGGCACTAAATCACTTTACATTTCGTCTTACTATACTGCTAGTCCCTTTGGGGGAGTTACCAGTAACAAAAAAAAAAAACATCCACAAGCCATTTCTTACCTTGGAATGAGCTATAGAAAGAGTATCCACCCACACTCTCCAGCCTCCCCATTCATATTTTATTGCATGATACAAGAGAATACGGAAAATGTTGTAAACCATCTCTGTGATCTTCTGCTCTTCAGAGTTCTTTGGGTTAATGTATCCCAGAGAAAACATCCAGTCCTGCCACACTGAACACTGAAGTAAACATCTAAAGTGAAATAATTAGGTCAAAATATATCCAAACAAAGCTTCTTTATTTTAACATTATGATGGTTAAGATGGGAGGAATATCTTCTCTGAACATCAATCCAGTGTAGAAATAAACTTAAGAATACTTCAGTATGAATAAAAATTTAAATTATATTCTAAACAGAAGTATTAGTTGCTGACATCAGAAAAGCTACCACAAACCTATTGAATTTATTTTAAATATATTTCATTTAAGAGTATACAAATCTACAGAGAGTATAACAGATTGCTACTACCCAGAAATCAAGAATGAGAAAATACTATTTGCAGTGACATACCTTCTGTTTTCACGGCTATTACTAAAGAGTTTTATCATATCAGACAAGAACAATCGTCGAACTTCCATCAGCTCGGCACTTGGCGTGGAGTTTTTTAACAGCGTTGCCACCACCTTAAGAATCACTTTGAAAGAATAAATTAGTTACATAAAGCACTGTAACAATGTTTAAAAAAAGAAAATAGTTCCTGTCAGGAACTAATGTAAGTAGTCACAGAAAGCTATATGTATTTAAGATACATGAAGGAATTGTTCTCACTTTCTGAACCAAATTATTTTTTGGTTCAGAAAAAAATAAAACCCCACAACCTCTAGGTGATACATTTAACATAAAAACACAATATATTGTCCTTACTTGGATTCTGAATTTTCACTGTCGAATCTGGCTCTGGATGTGGTTTATGAACAACTTGTGTGCATACTTGTTCTGTCAAAATCTAAAACAGAATATTAACTTACTTTTACCATTATTAATTAAACACTACAGCACTTCTTTGTTCATTTTTAAATTTGTTAAGAGCATTTACCATGGCCACACTGTAACTTCATATAAAAAAGTTAGGTAAAATATTTTAATACTTGAAAAATAGAATAAAGCAATTCCTGCACTCAAGGATCAAGATTTTCATGGTTTACAGTGTCTGGTTAACTAACCCTTTAGTTAGTTGACTACATATACAATTATGGTATTTTAAAGATATTTCATTCATATTTCTCATAGTGTTATACATTCACAGTTTAAAAATTTGTTCACAATCTCCATACATCAAAAATTATTCTCATGGATTTCATGCACAGCCAAACCAAATAATTCTTATAAGTGAGTTTACTTTTCTCCACATAGTAAAGAGAAGAGTCAGAGACAGCATTTCATTCAATGACATACATATTTTCTGAGAATACCAATCACAGAAGCTATCAGAAAACTGAATGGAGGATGTAGACTGTGAGACCCAAGTGGCCAAACCATACAAGGTAAGCTTAGATAAGTGCAATAAAAAAGAACCTGATGTCTAAGGCACTGGCTAATAGATGATGTTTTGGTTTTTACAATCATAGTAGAACATTTTCTACATCAAACTCAGACTTAGAACCCCAAAGACCAAGCACTCCTTCAGTCTTCTGTGTCTCCTCTGGAAGCAGTCCTGAGCATCTATCCATTACATCTATTTCTGACTAAAGAAAAATTAAAAATCCTTCTTGTCCATAAGACTTTCAGAAATTGCAAGAGATCCTATTCTAAGTCACCGTTTTAGAAATAATTGAAGATTGGATGTGAAATTTATGCATTTGTAGGCATGAAGACACAGTTTTCAACCAACTTGATGTTGCCAATGTTTTGCTTTAACGAAGTTGCTCATCATCAAAACTGAAGTTTCTACAAGAATCTGGTAGGACAGCCGAATGCTTTGAGGTCATACTCACTCACCTGAAGCAGTTTTTGCTACATAAAAATAGCTGTGTTCACTTATCATTTGACATAGTTAAAAAAGAAAAACAGCACTTTTCAAAGTTTTGTAAACTTCAACGGACGGGCATGAGAAAGAAAAAAAAAAGGAATAGAGAAAGAGGCATCTCTGACTCCAGCACTTTCCATTTCAATGGAAACAAACTCCTCCAAACAATGGAGGAGTAAGAGCAATTAGAGATTTGCAGTAACTTTTTTTTGTGGGGGGGAAAGTAATGAACATCTGAAGTAACAGGATCTCTTCCATCATAAGTGGAAAGTTTTACAGAGCCTGTGGAAAGTTTTACAGAACTTATGTAAAAATTATGACACTGTTAATAAAAACAGTTAAAACATGGCAAAATACATTTTGAACAAAGAAATCCTTTCTTAAAATTTCTAACATTTTCTCAAAAGTCTTGAGAATCTTGTAAAGCACAGATATTTTAAAGTCATACTTTTTACAATAGAGATAAAAATCTTTAATAATTTGTACCTCATAAAGCGTGTTATATGTTGTAACGGTCACTGTATTTGTATGCAGCATCAACCTTTCTCCAAGAAGTGTGAAAAGACTGTGAGTATGCATGATTTCAACCTTTCGCCTGTAAAAGAAAACAAAAACACTAGGCAAATGCCAAGCCTGTTGAACATTTTAAGTAAATGCAACATAAAACCCGAAAGCCAAATATTTTGTTGTTGTACTAAAAAGCTCCCAAACTTGTTATTCTGTAAATATGAGGAAACAAACACTATTTATGATATTTCCCAATATGAACACAATTGTAGCAATACACAAAGGTTCTCAGACAGTAATATTGTATTTAGGATGGGCTTTTGTATAAAATAAATCACACACCTTTCTCTACCCTCCATGATTTTCATGGTGGAAAAAGACAAAGTAATCCCTTTCTATCTTACCCAGTCTAAGAAAGTTCAAGATGTTCATAGGCTGTCTAAAATGTGATCCTGAAAAGTTATGAAATTCCACGTGATTGAAGTGAACTTCATATCTAGTATTAAAAACTACTCAAATCTTTAAAAAGTGGAGAACAGCTCAGATCAATGAATTCCATCTGTCCCCAAACCCTACTGTTTTAAAATTAGATATAGCATCACAAATAAACAGAGTACTTCTCATACTTTGTATCATTAAATTTACCTACTACTATAATGAATATGAAATAAAAAACATTATTCAAACTAATTAACAATCTATATAAAAGTAGAAGAAAAATATTAAATAATATAAGGTACAGTAAAGTTTCTGAAAATTTTATGCATTCAAAAGATATGAAACTGTCTTCTGATTACCAATGAAAATAACACAGGTTTAAATTACATAGATCTATTCTAGAACTTTTGAAATGAATATATTATATTATAATTTTCAAATAACCACAAAAAAGAGTGGCAACAACTTACACCAGTGTGTACTCTTCTGTGCACAAAAGGGAGTTCATGAGTTACTTATGAGAAAATGTACATGTATTCAATCTTGTATGCTTTGATTTAGCAGATGAAAGACGACTTTCACTGGAAGGTTTAAATGTGCGGATAAAAACCAAAAGTAAACAATGGACTATGATTTCAAGCAGTGACATAGAAAGAATCAAATATAGCAGAGAAGGAAGAGAACAGGATTTTGTCAACTGTTAAAGTCAGGCAAATTAGTCCATCATCACAGATAACAAAGAAAAATCAATTAGGTTATTCAGGTCCTCATCTAACACTTTACTGGTCACTTCTCCCGAGAATCAATTACTTCCACTGTATAGCTTCATCTGTGATGCATATATATGAACTACAGAAATGGTAATTGGTTTTGTACCTGCACATTTGTTATAATACTGTATCGGTTAAGATTTCATAAATCATGTAATATCTCTTCATGCAATTCTGCTTTAGTGTATTAAAATACAATGCCTGCTTCCTGTGAAACTGTGAAACAGAAATATAAGTGCTTCGTAATTTTACGTAGTTAATAATTTTACGTAGTTAATAATTTTATATAGTTTATAATTTTATAATTGCTTAGAATTTCCTGTGCCGATGCCTTAAACTTGTGTTCGGTTTCCCACATTCCTGTCGTTGACTTCAATTTTATAAAATCATGCGTATGCACATATATGTATGTTCACAAACAGGCACACTTCACAAGCACTAGCTGTAAGATATGAAATGGGGGAGGAATCTTGCTGAAATCTATATAAAATATGCAAATTTGGAGATGTTCAGAGATCTGAAAATTTTAAAAACCTCTGAAAGTTACACAGAATATTCAAGTGGGTTTCAAGTACTCCAATTACATGAAAAAAGAAATTTAAATTTAGGCTAAGTACATATGTTCATTCAACAATGGAAACTACATTGATATATCCATAATTGCAAGTAGGTGCTAAGGAATGGGAAGTGAAATTTCAGCTTCTGAAAATCCTCACTTTTCTTTTTCTGTAACACTCAACCAAAATACTTTGCTACTTGATTTTCTGGATAAACAATAAATATAGTAAACAAATGTACTTATCTGGACACAACCAGGCTCTGACAAGTCAAACCTTCATCTGGTGTATCTTACTTAATTCAACTCCTATTAATGTGAATGATTTTTAGTAAGTAATGTTTGAAAAGCCCTTGGAGATTCTTGAGTGGTCTATCAATTTGCTTTATTATTTCCCAGAACACTATTTGACTGGCTGGATCCGAAAAGAAAAATCCCATTTAGGAGCATATTCTCAGCTGTCTTTCAATTATCATGGCTAGGCTTTGCGAACGAAGTCATACTTTATTGATCTTACTGAGAAAAGCATGTCTAGCAGTACCACACTCTGGCTGGACTCCTACCCCCTTTCCCTTCTAAGGAGGCTTACATGATGAAGTCTGTGAAGCACGTGGTTAATTTTTATACTACACAGCATTCCAATGAAACGTTGTTTTGGGCTAATCCCAGCAGAAAGTTTAACATCACATGTAGACAGGGAAAAATGAGCAACAGCAGGCTACACGGCACTTCATGCTTGTTAATGCTTTCTTGACTCCATATTATGAAAGATGAGACTAAGTACACCTATTTCATGACATCTGGTCTTTTTAAACGTGATTATTTGTTGCTGCCATATATTCTATGTATTTCTTGCATAGAGGTATGTCCTTAACTCCTTTTTTAAATACTGCTTGCTTGATTTGCTTCTTTTCCTTCTGAAACTTTCCCATGTCAATAACATGTTCTGCTATTTAGTTTTTTCCATCCTTTTAAAGCTATTTTTAAAAGTACTGCCTAGAAAATTTTATTGCAATGACACTGATAATTCCAGAAACAAATTTTTGATCACAATCATATGTTTCCTGTTGACCTTATCTGAACACGCAATATACAGTTATAAAATGTATTTTTAGAAAATGTTTTTCCTTTGTTAAGACTTGAGTTTCACCACATCGTTTATTTGGAAATCAACGTATCATTTCAAACATCATAGTAATAGCAAGTTAAATGGAAAAATCCATTTTATCCCAAAGGCAACAGTGTGTAAATTATTAATCAGAAAATCTAACAATTTTAAGTAATTTCTAAAGACCGTCAAAGAATATATAGTAATTATGACAAAAAGACAAGAATTGTGAACTTAAATACACCACTATAAAAATTTTAAAACCACACTTACTTATGACCCAAATGTTTAAGAAAATATCCAAGGACCTTCAAGGCTTGCACCCATATACTTTCACTCTTGGAAGCCAGTAACTTATAAATTACTCTGAAAAAGAAATTCAATAAGATTATTACTGAACATTACATATATAGATTGTATTTCACTAAACAGGGGGTTTTATTGAGAAATAAAATGGTAAAGATAGCAACATACACAAAATGGAAGGATATACTGAAAGAATCAAGCACAACATAAGAGTTTGATTATGAATTCTTGAGATTGGGGACATGGTGTCTTTTAGTTCAGTTGAATGTTTTATAACAGAAAGTGCCATCTTACACTTCTATCTTGGAACGATCAAATAAAAGACAGTCTGAGCAGTTGTAGCTTAAGACAAGAGAAGCACACTGGAACACATAAGGTTATATCCTGGAGTTTCTTAGAGTACCTGGATGCTAGTGAAAATCTTGTTTTTTTACACCCTTCTGTTTTTAAATCCTGGATTAAAAAAAGGTCTCAATAATGAACTGATTTAATTATTACATATTTAATTAATACGATAGGTTTAAGCACAATTTCTGAAGTTTTTCAGAAAGGAAACCAGCCTTTATCTGAAGGCACCAAAAGACAGAAAACACTACCTTTCCCCTGGGCTACTCTTCAACAAAGTTTTGAATTTATATTTTAGTTTCTTATTAGAATTAGCTTTGCTTCAGCTTTTAGACATTCTTTCTAGTCTTTCTCCATTAAAAAGTGCTTTAGCAGACACTATCTTCCTCTTTTGAAAGGACTTACGCTATTATCAAATGACCTCTGAGGCTGAGGCTTTTGTCCTCTGATAACCTAAGCAAATGAACACCTAATTCTATGTAAGGTTTTTGTTTCTTTTTTTAATACTTAAATGTTGCAATTCTGTGCATTCTTCCCAGTTTTTCAACACAAACTTTTAAACACAAAGACTGCACAGAGTTTGAATATTGGTACTACTAATGCTACATAAAGATGTCTTCAGTCTTCCAGATCAGTCCTACCCTCTTCAAAAGGTGTCAGGAATAGAATTCTGCCTGAATACAAACTACAGGCAGAAAGGAAATTCCTAACCATGAGTACAAGGTGTCTTCCCTTCAATTAGCATTGTCATTCAAACAGTTTTAAGTACACGTATTTATACAAAGATCTTAGTATTTAGGCAAAATTAATCTTGACTTCATCAAGTAGTAGATGTTGTGTGGGTTTCTTTTCCTTTTTTCAAGTCCCTTGCATTTTCCAAAGTATTTTCAGAACAGCACAAAATAAAATTCCATAGTAAATATTAATTTATTACATGAAAAGTATTTGTCCCTGAAAAAGATTTGTATTACCAAATTAGGCATAAATAAACAAACAACCCCCCCCCACACTTCTCTGGGAATTATCAGTTATTAATTTCACTGTCAAAAAGATAAACACCTGAATTCCACTCTTTTCAAAGAAAATTTGAGTGGCCAGGGCAGAATTTATCTTTTCCTCTTCTTCTCCCTAGAAAATGTTAAACATACCAAGAAAGAATATTCAGAATTATTCTGAGGTAGATACTCGGCTTTTTGATGCATCTTGTTAATTATATATTCTATTTGAGATTAAGAAGCAAGTACAACAATACATTTACCTTGAAATATCATCATGATAATCTTTAGTGGAAAGTCTTGTTTCCTCCAACCTATTGTAACCACTCATTTTGTCAAAAAATAAAGTCTAAGTTAATAAAATTGAAGTTTGAAAGATCAGCAAGTGTGATATTTATGTGAAAAAGAAGCAAACTGGAGAGTGATGACACTGGAACTACTTTTATTGTATTTTCTGACTTCACAGTCTTACCGTATCCCATTCCTCTGATCAAAGGCAGGTATCATGGATGCTGGATGTTCGGACATTAGTGCCACTAGCAGCTGCAGCACATCATGAATATTTTCATCCTGTATGACAAGCATCAGTGTTATTCTACAAACTAACTGCAACAGCAAGCTTCCCATAGTGCTGGCACAATTGGTAACAGTAAAAGATAAGTAATTATAGAAATGTACCTCATGCATTGTTAGCAAGTAATTTAATATGCTCTGCAGCTCATCTTCTTTAACTCCTCGATCCTAAAAGAAAAACAAAAGGAGGGACATCATTCAGAGAAAATACATTCTTCGTTTGCTCAAGCAAAATTTGGACCAAATCAAATAACCTTACAGCTTTTCTATTTAAATTTAAAAGACTAAATTCTCACAATCATTCCACTGCTTTTCCTTATCACATTGGCAATTCAAAACAGTATGAGGTCAGTCTTCTGTCCTTAAAGAAAGGATTCTTATAGTGTGCGCCCTCAGATACTACAAACTATTACTGTCACTCCTCCAATTTTGGAGACAAAACAGAAAAAACAGGCAGAAAAGGTCAAGCCAGAAAATACTGGTTTTCAATCTAGTCTCAAATGGAAGATTATATCTCAAAGGCTAGTGCTCAGCTGTAACAGGGAGGAAGAGTCCTACACCACTTCAACCAGTGGTAGAAGCAACAAGAAGGTTAAAGCAACTACTAACTTAACAATTGCTGTTACCTTTTTCATTTGATCAATTTAATAAATCTAATGTAATCTAATCTAATTAATTTAATAAAAATTATTTAATAATTATTATTTTAAATATATTTTGATGTCAAATATAAACATATGTGATGGTTTCAGTCTAGGCCTTCCTGGAGACCAGCTTGTAACCAGGAAGGAACTAGGGAAGTGACAAAGGAAGTATTCCATGCTATTCCTTTACGTAACCTGGGGTATAAATAGGGCATAGATAAGAGAGCTCGCTCTCTTCTCTTCCAGTGAGGTTCGAGAACAGTAGATCCGTACGTGGTCCTGCTTATCTGAAGTTGAGGCCTGTATCAACTGCTGTTATCTGCCACGCGTGAGGGGAGAGTGCTGGGCCGCGTCCAGCCGTCCTGCTTCTCTCAAGGGAAGTGGTGAGATTTTGCCAGTTCTTCAGTTTGCTGGTTACCGGGTTTTTAGATCGTGTAGACCTGTTTTGTTTCAGTCCCTTTTCATCCTATTTTATCCTTTTTCCCTTCTCCCTTCTCCTCTTCCCTTTTAGAAGCTATTTGGGGTTTCTGGGGTTATAGGTATATAATATTCTCACTGTATATATCTGTTTCATATGTAAAATAAATATTTTTGCTATAGCTTTGGCTGCTTGGTTTTTTTTCTTTCCTCTCTGGGAAGCAGACCCTGTTGTCAAGTTTCAGAGACTTGGCGGGAAGCCAGCTTGAAACTTGCACAACATATTAATAATTTTAAAAATATATATGGCAGAGCTTGGTGAGGTAATAAGAAATATTGTATGGATTTACCATCTTTATGCTGATTAGAAGTAAGCGCATGAACATTAAAACTGACCAGAAACAGATACAATACCTGACAGGTATTACCTATTTTCTACTGTGAAAGATTCTATTACACGTATATAACACATCTGAATGTTTTCCCTCTGGAATAGATTACATTACCTTCAATATAAGTTGTTTCAAGAACAGAAGCATAAATGCCCTTAGCGATATGATTTCTTTCTGGGAGGGTCGAGGACCATCTGGAAGAAGCAAAATATGGCACTTTTAAATATAAACTAAGTCTTTTAATGACCGTAGCTTCTTAAGGAAATCACAATTCCCACAGTAGATTTCGTGGTCTACTCTTACATAAAAGTTCACATATGCAAATTATATCATTTATAACCTTTCAGAATCACATTTTTCAACAGTGATATACTTAAGTATAACTGATGTTCCACCTGGAAAAAAAGGAAATCCATATTCAATTTTATTTATTTTTTTAAAGACACACGAAGATAAAAGATAGGAATAAGATGATAGTAATAGATAGATAGCAATATGTGATAACAACTTGGAACGACTAAGCCACCATGCTAAATATTATCTAAATGAAGTCACTATGCTAAATACCATCTGAATGAAAACCAATAAAGAAAATTTATTTACTGTTTATTAATCTTTGTGACCATTAATGCATATAGATAATTCAGTGTCAGCGTCACTCAGAAACTGATAATCAGTACTGCTAAAGACTAAAACCAAGCCCAAATCAAAACAACTACATGCTTTTAAGATCCAGTACAGCAACCAGAAGTTCCTAATAGAAAATAGCAACATTCTTGTTAATTGGCAAAGAGAAAGGATGTCTCCTTTATCCCACACCAGGATGAGTCACTAAAGCACTTCCTGCTTTTAGATTCTTTATGTATGTATTTATCACAGATAGTCCCTGATTTGCGTCATATTTTTTTAAATATACACTCATAACAAGAGTTAGCTAGCTTTACTCAGACAAAAATAAATGAAAAAAACCCACCATTATCCAATTCTTCCCTGCAGCATAGAGCAATTATAGAGGCATAAACCAGAAATAATTAAGAAGGAATAAGTAAACATATTCACAGAGTTAAGTACAGTCAGTACAGGTGTGGGAAAAAAACCCAAAACAAAACAAAAAAAATCCAACAAAAATGATTGGGAGCTTTGAATTACAAAAATAATGATTTCTAATTCTGTCTCTGGAAATAAAACATCGTGTTATCAGTTCTACCAGCAACCAAATGTAACATTCTTCCATCTGTTTTGATTTTTCTTAATATGTGAAAAACAGTGATTTTTCTATTCCTTTACATTAATATGACATGATACAGATAGCAGAATCTGATCTCCATGAATACATAAATAAAATCGCATCTTATGTGGGTCACAGAAGGACCTATTTTTCTTACTGCTGTAAAGCTAATGAGAACTCAGTTCCACTTTAACCCAACCCTTGAAATAACTCTGTGCAACTCTTTCTATCCACAAAAACTATAACTAATTTCTCCTTATAATAATTTTCATAAATCCCACTTCTACAATTCATGTTCAAAAATACTGGACATGAAGAATGTTCTTGAAAACTCTGTTTAATGTGAGATCACTTGTACATGATCCTCTCTATCAGGAGGCATGATGCTACTCATAAAGGTCCATTCACAGTAAGAGTTGTGAAGCACACAGGAAGCACTAGTAGAGAAACAGAAGTGCTTGGCCATTCAGGTCAAGAGTTAACTACACTACACAGTAGTCTGGAACTTAAATACACATTTCTCTCATACAACACAGACTCCCCAGGGAAGTGGTCACAGCACCAAGTCTATCTGAGTTCAAGAAGTGTTTGGACTGTGCCCTCAGGCACATGGTGTGATTCTTGGTGTGTCCTGTACAGGGCCAGGAGTTGGACTGGATGATCCTGATGGATCTATGATTCTATGATTCTATGAACTATGAACAATGAAGCAGCAAGTATTTCGTACAACGCAACAGAACAGGGTCCAAAATTGCAGTTTAGTACAATACATTTCTGACACTTGTTAACACTGAGAATCCTAAATTATTTTCTCTTAGGAAGAAAACTTCACAATATTTACTTTACTCTTCTGTTATTTTATGCCTTCTCACTGATGGCCCATCAGTATTTCCAGAGAATGCCATGCAGTTGGAAAGTAATTCCAGTGAAGACTTGTCAAGGCATAAATATCCTGGTGGGCTCTAATGACTTCTCTCTTAAACTTGCAGAAATTGAACACCAAATTAATTCAGAAACATGGAGGATTTTTTAAAGAGCAAAAATATTTTAATTTTCTTTCAAAAGGTTAATAAAGAAATTAAACTATCCAATAGTTAGTAGACATCCAAAGATGAAAATAAAAAAGTGTGTTTAAATTTTTCTCTATTGCTTTGATATTAAAATAGATGTATTTTGCTCCTTCAGAAAGACAATTACAGCTTGGCTAATCTTTAAATATCAGTCTAGAGTATATCTTGAAAAGACAAAACATCAAAGACAACGACTGATAGCAGAATGCTAAGATGTCTCTGGCAGCTTGAAGTATCATTGAAATGCTCCATCTACCATCTACCAATAGCAAGATAGAGTTGACTATCTCCTCACTTATCCTCTTATTCATTTCCCAAATCCACAAAAAGAAATAATTCAGAATGAAGTTATATATTTTAGATAATTTTCACTCCATTGCCTCTTTGCTGTGTGTTTAGATACTGCAACTGCTGGGCAAGCCTATTATCCTTATTCCATATGATTTAACAAAATATTAAAGGCATGCATGTGGCAAATCAAGAAAAATAGCTATAACCACAGTTCAAGTTTAAAAAAGAAGTAATAAAATTCAGTCATTCTTTCCTGTGCAAATTGGTTTGACTTTTTATGCTCCTTTTAAATTTAAAACAAACAACACCAAAAGAAAAGTATAACTTGTCACTTTAAACAGATAACTCACCTTCACTATGTGGATCTATACCTAAAATACAAAACCTACTAAATATAATTATTGAGCAAGGTGATAATTTCACATTTTGAGACAGTGTTTCTAATACTTCAGAAGGAAAAAAAAAGACCAATATGAATTCAGTATTCTGAATCCAAGAAGAAATATCACAATGAAACAGGAAACCAATAACAAAAGAGAAGATACAACCCCAAATTTAAAATAAGTATTTGAGCCTTTTAAATAATTCAAAGTACTTATACCTCCCATTTTATAAGCTTAATACTAGGAGAAACAAGGGGAAAACTAATTTTTAAAAGAAAACTGCACTAGCCAAATGGGAAACTTCAAGGGATACTAAACTGTCAGTACAGAAAATTCACCCACTTTGTGCTTTATTAACACAGAGGAAGGCAATAAAACCCTGAAGCAGAGCAACTGTCTGCAGGTAATAGTAAATCAAACTACTAATATTAAAAAGTGTTTAAGTATTGCCACATAAAAAAGGATATGCCTAGAAGACAAGAAAACATCACACCACCAAAATGTCTGCATGAACAAGCTTACTTTCTAATATGACAGCAAATTATATGAAGGCGCTATAGCACATGAAGTCAAATTTTGGATATTGGCAAGATTTCCACTTAAGTCTTCTTCAGATCTGAAAAGCCTCATGTCAAGTCAGTTTGGTTTCAGCTGCCATTTATTCACATGATGACATTTTTCTGTTTCATACAGTAAAATTAGTGTTCATAGACAATGGGTCCTCTTCTTCCATTCTGAGACACCAAATGCTACTTAAAATGCAGCAAATCTAACATTCACCTAATTGTGTTTTTACAGTGTAAGTTTCTTGCTTTAACAAATTACTTTTTTATACATTATTTTACATTGTAACAAATTATAAACTTGCTGGTTACATGTGGCAGAAGTGGCTGTATGCAGGCTAATAAAAATCAGCACAAAACCAAAATCCTGGAAGAGTTAACTTTTTCAAAATACTAGGATTGGTGCATCAGGTAAAGAAAATCAATGTAATAAGCTGGCGATAAAACATTTTGAAAAGTTTTCAGGAATTTTACCAATTGAGAGTAAATCTAGTGGATTTGATAAAAATCTAATAAGAAATTAAGTTAATGTAAAATTAAATTTAGCAACCCATCACCTCAGCAATTATTATATTTCCCCAATCATTTGCTTGCAAATTACCACAGTTATTACAGCTATCTTAGTCAGAAGCAGAAGTTATCCGTGAAACAATAGCAAAAAGAATCCTAGTGCTGATTTGCACAGAGAAAATTCCACAGTTGTTCTGGGTTTTCACATCCATTGCAATGTCACTGGTCTTTCTCTCTGATACACTGACATTCTTCAACTCAAGGAAAGCCATTTTTACAGATAGAAAAGAGAATGCTACAAAACACTTCTTTAAAGTTATACCAATTACAGGGGACTTTCTGTAGTCTAAGACACAGGGAGGAAAGAAGAGGATAAGGAACAAGGAAAAAAGCAGATATTAACCTTTAAAAAGTCAAATTTATTTATAAATCTAACTAAAGAAAAAAATGAAAACATTCAGATACAGTGGGTAAAACCACATTTTTTGAAAACATGCATGTCCTCACAGCTTATCAAACACCTTCCCAACTACTGTATGAAGGCCTTAAAAATTGTGATATTTGTTGTCAAACTGCTACACCAAGCAACCACTAATTTGCACTGTCTGATTACCTTTCAGGGACTGACCTAGTTGCCTTCCTGAGAAAAAAAAGAATTTTGTCTGGAATTAACACAAATGAGAAGACAAGGTAATATACCCTTAAACAGGTAAGAATAAAAGAGGAGGTAGGGAAGTAAACCAGTCATATATATGCTAATTTAGAGTTAACTGATTCATTTGTCATGCCTAATTTTGTGTCCTTGTGTACCTCATGCCTTCTGTTCAGATTTTGATGAATACACTATCTACTTTTTTGCTGCTATTCAACCGGCAGTACACATACAAATACTCCAAAAATACAGCTAACTGTGGAGAGGAAGATCCGGGGAGATAAAACAACCCATACTTCCTACAGAAAGAAATGTTACTGATTCCACTAAAGAGCAAGCCTAGCCAGAGGGAAACAGTTTGTAATCTGCAGTACATTTTCAAAGTGTTGTTAGGTAGTAGTATCACAACACAGAAGTATGCGAATTTTTAAATTAAAACCAAAACAAAACTACCAGAAGAAAAAGCAAGCAAATAAAACACACACACACACAAAGTCAAAAAACCAACCAAACAAAAAACCCCCCCAAAATTCCCCAAAAGAATGACAGCCATAACCAATAGACAGTATTATTAAATTTACAGTCTCAAAATAGTTAAGCAATTTTCCAGGTCTCTATCTCGGTGTAAATATGGTTGACACCTGAAAACTTCACCTCCCAACAGTTGGTCATTCAACAGTCAGAAACATAATGTATATATTATAAACTGATCAGCTGAGTTTTAAACATCCTAATTCCTCATTGAGCTCACATATGGTTAACCTGTCTGATGGTAAAACTGTACCTATGCAACACAGCAGTGTAACTATCAACAGAGTAGAGCTCTGAAAGCATGCAGCTGGATAATGACAGTACCAGGGTAGGATTCAGCTCATCCTGACTTCAGACACCTACAGTGTAGTTCCCACATGTGAAACCAGCTTCTAACCTTCCACTGAGGTCAGTGGAAATCTAATCAATAGAGCCAATGCTGTCTAGAAAACAACGACTTATCAAGTCTCTGTCAACTAGGGGTAGGACACAGATTCCGAAACATACTTACCAGTGTGAATTGACATGCCATAAAGCTTGCAAAATCTCTACCCATAATAAGCAAATGCAAAATATCTATCTAAAACAAGCAAATACGATGTTGTGTGCACAGGAAACCTGCATACTTCTGAAAGGCAGGTGGGATGCCCCAGAGAGATTATAATGATGCTGGAAACCTGTATTAAGGCAACTGACTCCTGCATTCCACTGTCTATAATTGACAGATGTCTAACTCAGTTAGAAGGTACTACCTTCATTGTAGTACCAAAATTGAATTTAGTTCTATTTTGGCAGCAGGAATCTAGAATCAGTGTAAGTGGAAAATATAATTTATCACTGACAAAGATTTCAAGCTAATTAAGTAACAACCACAGTTAATTTTCATAATCTAGTATTACAAACTTTTCATCTAAATGAACAGAGAACAACTTTATTAGGTATTTTAAAATAAATTTTAATAATTTTATGAAGAATATTGCTCATCTGAGAGAATTAAAAATGATGTTCTAGATCCTACAGCAGCTCTTTCTGTGAGCCTCAACAAGTTACAACTTCAACACCTATTAAGATACCTAATTTAGAATAAGAATTGTTCCTTCTGCTTTTATTTATTGAAAAAATATTGAAGAAAAACCATATGCATACAGCTCACTTACAAATAAAGAATAATCCAATAATTTATATGTTAGATATGTCACACTCGTGAATATTTGGATATGTGACAGTACTGAAACATTCCCCAATTATTCAATTACTCAGCATGACAGTAGTAGTTACAGAAAAAAGAAAATTAATAAGTTCTCCTTTATCTATTATTTTTTAAAGAGACTTTCAGCCAAATCCTTTCTGCTTTACACAAGTAGACAGATAAATGTAATGACATTACAGCCATAGTGTATAGGATTAGAATGATTTGCTCTAATACAGAGATCTGTCTACAGATCCAAGGAGCTTTCACACAATAACATCATAAATATTCCTACACAAGAAATGCTCATATTTCCTTTCTTATGTGTTGTACTTACCTAATCCTTTAGGAGTAATGCCACTGCTATCAGCAGGATTAACCACCCAGTAGTAGTATTTCAGTGTGTGCATTAACTGCAGGACTGTTCCTACTCTGCGTATGGTGTTGTAGATTGTAGCAGTTCCAATGAATTCAGCTGACAAGTAGGTATACAAAGACAGCTGCACCTGAAGAAAGAAACAGTTACCCACATAAACCTAAGTTCTGTATTAGTAACCTTAAGTTGTAGGACTTATTTTAATATATACTTTGGATATGACATAAAAAACTAAAAAAAAATTTTAAAACGTTGGTTATGGCAGGGACTTGACTGATACCCAGAAATGACATCCAGAGGTCCCTTGCAAACTAAATTTCCTATGATTCTATGATTCAAGTAATGATAAACATACAGGCTTGTTTTCTATTCTGGCTTTTTATACTAGAAGTACATATTTTCAGATTTTAGGTCCACGCCACTTTTCAATTTGGTTCAACTATGATTATATCTCAACTATGATTACTTAGGAAAACAACTAATTCATTATTACCAGAGATGAACAATAACATTTTATAGATTTTATCAAACTAAAATACATAATTTAAATTAAAGTGAGAGCTCACGCTAATGTGTAACAAAATGTGCCACCTTTCACCTACAATTAAAAATACATAATTTTATGCTTAATCTTTAGGAAAACAATGTAATGCAACCACTGAAAAAGGGACTGGGTTTCCAGAAACAGTCCAATAATTTAACTACTTTTAGGAACTTATAAAAGACATTGGGGTATATAGTTAAGCAGGGTATAGACTTCATGATCTAAAAAATCATTGCTATTACCATATTTTAAAATAAAAAACCCAAAAACCTAAGTACCATGTTACAAAAGAATACAGGCATTTCATTTTGTTGTAGGAGAGTCATAACATTATTCAAGTGTACAACTACCTTTGCAGGGGTATGTATCCAGATAGCAGGATTAAAAAGGATGTGATCACATAATTGCTTCAGTAGAGGTGCTCCATGAGATAATCCATCCAAATATTTTGCAAATGACAAAAATTGTTCCAGAACTGCTCTGGTTATATGAACTCTAGATGACTGGGGGGAAATAATCAGAAGAACAAAGATAAAGAAAAGCCTTCTTCCTTAATATACTTACAGCAGAATTATGAATCAGTATTTTCACCCATCTCATCATTACTAAAAACATGCAGCTTCACGTGTTTTGATGTCATTGCATATGAAGGCAACTTCTACTTTCTAATAATATCAACAGTCTTTCTAATGGCTATATTTAACAAGTTAAAATATTCATCAGTAATCATAGTTAAATACTTTTTCTTTTTTTGTTTGTTTGGTATTTTGGTTGGTTGATTTTGTTTTTGTTTGATTAGAAGCCAGTCAGGATCCAACATTTTACAGCAGAGTGCTTTGAGAATTTCATTCGAAGTCCGTAACTCTTTTTAAGTTAATGATGTGTCTTACTGAAATTGGGTGTCCCAATATGTAAATGTACATTACTGGTAGACTTGCTTTTGTTTCTTAAACATAAGTAGGTATTTGAAGGAGTTGAGTTTAAGGTTTCCTCAAATTTCAGGAGAGTCTTTCAGTTTCATAGCATATGCTATAAAATTACTGTTGAGACCTGCTCTTACATAGTAATGTGGCATGAGGACTTTGACAAATTTCTTTGTATACTAAATTAACAAATTAATAAAAAAGCCACTAAACTTCCTTCCCCTTGCCTTCTCTACAAAATGTAAAGCACTGGAACAGGCTGCCCAGGGAAGTGGTTCAACTACCATGCCTGGAGGTGTTTAAAAGATGTGTAGATGTGGCACTGAGGGACATGGTTTAGTGGTGTCCTTGGCAGTGCTGGGTTAATGGTTGGACTTGATGATCTTAAAGGTCTTTTCCAACCTAAGTGATTATATGATTCTATGTTCCAATTATTTTTATTGCTGTGAGTACAGTCTGGGAATATGCAGATTTGTTATTTTTAGAACTGAAGTCTATTTTTCAGTAATACAAGTTCAGTCTGGATGCTGAAGTTCCTTTGGCTTGTACATCACGATTCACAATAAATAGTCTGCAACTAATAAGAACAAAAACATTTGGAAATTCAAGTCAGGAAAAAAAAAGCTTTCTGTCCTCTGAAGTATTTGATTACATGCAAATGAACAACAGATACAACAGATAATTTATAAATAATGAAATTGAGACTGGCTTAGGAAGCAAAAGGATTTTTTCCTGCCATGTATGCCAAATTAATATAAGCATATACTGAAAAAAATAAAACACCTTGTAGCATTTTAAAAAACTATAGCTAAGTGAATACAGATCAGTGAATATGTAGTAAAAACCGTAGCTAAGTGAATACAGCAGCAAAGCCCCCAGAAAACAGTATCTTTGTAACAAGTGTTTTGAACAATCAAAATCCTTTAAATATTCACATAGCCTGAATTTAATATCATAGCAGATGCTAATTAGAAGAGTGTGCAAATTTATTTTTTTTTTTAATTTCATGTACAACATTCTGAATTGACGTATTCAATGTGCGTAAACCACAGTGCTCTATTCAGGAGAAAGAAACTCCATGAGGGTTCACTAGCCTGCCCATTACTAGCCTGTAATAACTTACAGAACCGAAGGTAACAGCTTTGTAAATTCATTCTGGTTATGTCACAAGAAAACCTACCACAGGAAAAAACACCACCTTAGGCTAATTCTTTGACATTCTACATCACACTTGCTTAGTACTGAAAATGTAGAAGCAATGAAAATAGTCTGCTTTTAGGTATTCAGTGAACATAAATGCTTTCTACTATAGGAATGTATTTTCCTGGCTGCAAATAACAAAGGGAGCAGAATGAGACAAACTATTTATCATTCTTTTTCAAAATTCAGTATATTTTTTGAGGGTGAGATTATAAGTTTTATCTTCTTCTCAAATGATTGCTACACTGACCTCATGCTAATGAAAAATCCAGTAGCAGACATTCAAGAATGTCAAAGCCCTGAGATTCAATTGTTGAAGTACCGCTGTCTTAGTATAGCTAACAGTAGTTGGTTTTCAGATTATGCAGATTATGAAATCACAGCAACAGGGTTTCATGAGGGCTTTGGTCCAGAAGGCAGGTAATGTTCCTCAGACAACTGAACTGAACCTCAGTTTTGTGATAACTGAAAACAGTCCTTTGAGTCAAGTGATTGAAAGTACCACGATGACAGTAGAAATACTAAGAATAAAAATAAAAGCTCTCCAAACATACCTTTTCAAGGAGATAGCCAATTACTAGAAAGCCTTTTCCACCAAGCATTTGTTCTTGCATGGCTACTGAACTCTTAAGAAGCTCAACCAAGAAAGCCAATAGGGTAGCACTGCATGTAAAAAACAGGAATTTTTTCAGATTAAAAATGCAGAAAAGCCAATCTGTTACTTTCTTAATAATCACCAGCTATTAAGTGTACAGAAACAGGCTTAAAGAAGTTTATTCTTGAAAGAACAGAAATCTTACTTTTTCTTTTAACAAATTTCTCAATTATTTTTCTCATATTACAGTGTTAGGAGTGGGAATTCATAATCAAATAAGTGCAAAATCATTCTGTCAGTACTCCTGGTTTGACCAAGACTATCCCAGGTTTTAAATATCCAGTCTGGGAGCTTGCAGTTCTAGCCAAAAGTCTGGCAGTTGAAAGAGGCAGGAGATGCTGTGGGATCCAGCTGACAGTGCTTAGATGCAGGCAGGGATCGTGTCAAACATTTTACCATCCACATTAACTATGCTAAACAGCAAAATTTGCAGACACTAGGTATGTCATCATTCCACACTTCCGTCCCTAGAGTCACTATTACCGCAGAAATGAGGCATTAAATGGCTGAACATGCACATGGGCAATAATGCCCACCACAAACAACAGTGAAACAAGAGCAGGGTGGAGAGCTTCTTTTGTACTTTCCTTCAGACCAAACAGAGGAATAATATCTAGGCCTGACCAAATAAAAGTTGAGGATCACTTTTCATCCAGTTAGGAAAGCACAGAAACACTTTAGAGACCACAAGGAAATTGCCCAGCAGCCCATCCCAGCAGTATCTTTAAGTGAAGTGTTCATAAAGCACAGGGAGGGAAAAAAGTGTTCAGAGAAGGTTACAGTCTAGAAACAGAAGAGATATGAAGACTTCAGGGGATAGAACTGACAAGAACGTGAAACTGTTATGAAAACCTGCAATGGAAACATATCCATGCACCATAGGGGGGGAAAAAATCACAATTGATTCTTGGGTGATGAGAGTGAAACATAAATACACTCATCTGTTGCAAAAAAACAGAGGAAAGGGAAAAATAAACAAACAAACAAACCATATTTGTAACAGAAAGGAAATATTTAAAATTATTTTTCAAACATCTCAAAAAGGTAGATGACAGAATGCATTGTAGTGCATATGCAATGCATACATAAAGTCATTATTCCTTTTCTGAAAATAAAATAGGTGTAATAGTTCCTAGCTGTACAGACAAGTATCTGCAACCATGAAAGTTCTCACATAGGTAGCAGCTATGAAAAAGTGAATTAAAGGAAATGTCCAACCTGCATTTTATAAATTTCAACTTTACTTACAGTATCTAGTCATCTAAAGGTTCTCTTGCTCTCCAAATAAAATCTTTTACTTTGAAATAAATGTTGAGACTGGTTAATCCATGCCAGCACCAAAAAATAATCAATGTGCTGAGGAAAACAAGATTTATTCTATTTGTTGAGCAAGGCTGCCATGCATAAAGTACACAGTGTAGCCAAAGTACATGCTGTGAACATGAAATAGTGCCTTGTCTTGCTTTATTGTTGAATGGTCATAATAATCCATCTAAAATCACATACAGAATGCTCCACAGAGTGTCAGCAGTAAAAAAACACAGATAATACCCATTTACAGGCTTTTATCAAAACAGCCTGTCAAGCTGTCACATCAATATCAAACCAGGTTGTATGCATCAGTTTTTCTTACCCTGACCAAAAGTTTCTATTGTATTTGTCATATAAAATAAGATCCTAATAATTTTTAATACATGAAAATCCATAAGAAGATCATATAAAGGCTTGAAGTTTTATATTTAGAAAATATTTTTTTTAATTGAATAGGTCAAAGAAAATTTCATATGGATAGATGGTGCTTACTACCAACCTCTATGAATAACCTTACAACTTAGGACAACCAATCATTATGCATGAAGTTAGGCAACAGCATACATCTTTACAGGATTAGAATCTAAATTACAATATCAAATACTATTAATATTATATTGAAATGTCAAAAATATTCTTAAAATGGATTTAAAAGATTGGTTTACCATTACCATGCCACCAGACTTAAGTTTAACAGATTCTCAGTCCACAAGTACTTTCTCAAAAGCCCTTTTCTTTGTATTGCAGTTTACTTGCCCATTCTATGAATTTCGATGTAAACTCATGGGCTAGAACTATTCTTATATCAGTACAATCTCTATACAACTGTTAGAACTTCTGATAGGATTCTAAATGCAAGTTATAAGACACACTTCCTCTTTCCTTCTATTTAAGCACACAAAAAACACAAGTCAACTCAGAAATAATCAAGTGACCAGCTTATACCTAACCATGCCACAGACACAGAAACAGACAAGCTGGTTCTATGTAAGAAAGACTAACTCAAAAAAGTGTAATAATTCAGATGCAGGCAGAGTCCAAATATCACTTGTTAGATATTAACCATCTTTATGTGGGCTGTGGTTGAACTAATTAATTTTGCCTACCCACATTAGCTCTGCATAGAGCTACCTTAGCTGTTACTGCAAAGTGAGGCCAGTGTTTCTAGTTCCAGGAAAACGTATTAATTCAGTCAATACCTTTGTGAATGAGCTATGCTTTTACTTAATTCCCAAATGGCTTTTAACATATATCAATCCAGACACATAAAAGATACTCAGCTCCGCAGAGTCATCTCAGGTCTGCAAGCAGTAATTCTAGCTTCTAATCCTTCTGCATTATCCGAGATTGTCACCATAAATAATACACTTGATTGTAGTATATAGAAATTCAAATCTTGGGATAGCACATGTGAACGCATCATTACACCTTCAAGCACATTAAAAAAATCCAAGTACCAGAAAAAGCAGCAGTTAAGGAGAACCATCTGGCAGGCACACAGAGGCACAATGAAGTTTGAGATGAATACTGTATAGGACCACAGTATTGATAAAAAATAGCATTATAATTAAATTTAGCAGTTTGTCCATGTTATTATGCAGGAAATGAAGTAAGTAAAAGATCTGTAATATTTTAACTACTAGAAGAACTATAAAATCAAAATGGAAACGTTTTTAAATTCTCATGGCATGTACAGTACTGAAGCTATTACTCCCTGAAGATGATGATGATCAGAGCTAGGCAGAAAACAGACTACATGCTTAGTTTGAGGGGTTGATTTTTTGGTTTTCTTTATGAGTATTTTTTTTGGTTTTTTATGTAGTGTTTGTGGTTTGTGTTTTTTTTTTCCCTAGAGAGGTTGCTTACACTTGTTTCAGGTGAAACTTTTTTGGGGGAGAAAGGAGGAATAAGCTGTACTAAGTAACAGTTGTTACACACAACACTGGTTTTATATGTTACGTTTTCTACCTTACACACTTTATGCTAGAGATCATTCAATCTGCCCGAAAAGACCTAACAGTTAACAATTCGCAGATAAGCTTTCCAAACCTCTTCAAAACTTATCTTTCCCCACATGTTCAGACTGAACTCAAGCCAACATTTAAGTGTGTGTATCTAGATATATAAAATCATACTGATGTAATGGATCTCTTCTTCTCAATATTGCATCCTAAGAATTTAGTCTGTCTAATTTAGAGGACTGTATCCAGAACTTTTAACAATTTCTGAGGATAGCCAATTTATGCAGTCACCTTGGCAGCTGAAAAGAAATTAAACCTGAAGATTTGAAATGTAAAAATTTTTATCAGCAGAACCAGGTTGTCAAAATCATGCTTTTAAAAAGGTTGTTGTTGACAGAGGGGAAATAATATTGATTAGAAGACTGTCTTCTAAGATGAACAATTTTTTAAACAGAATTTAACAAACTTACCAGCAACTAACATGCATCGGACTGCTGCAGGGCTCACATTAAACTTGCAAAATTCTGTGCACTGCCATACAAAATTTCTCTCCAATCTTGCCTATTTTCAACTGCCCTAGATACAAAGGCAAATATAAAGGATACTTCAGCCCATTCCTACATCTCCTGTATACCATGCCCCACCTAGAACAGATCAGTTTGTCTGCGGTGCAGCAAAGATACAGATAGAAAATGAAAGTATATGTGTCAACCAACAGTAAATCAGAGAACTATGATAGCTACTGAAAAAATAAATAATTTCAGGGAAAAAAATTCCAGTAGTTTTCCACTACTAAAAAGCAGGGAAAAAAGGTTATAGACCAAAGCATGACAATGTAGTACTTCTAATGGTTATGATACTGCTTAGAAGTACCTTCAAAGTCAGGAATTTGCATAATTAGGATAAAAGTGAAATTTGTCTCGGATTTGCTGTTCTTGTTCTTTTATACTATTTTATTTTTAAACCACCACATGGATCAATTTCTCTACTCTCCTAATTCCCATGATAATTTTCTCTGTTAAATTTACCTTAATTTAAGTTCCATCTTGTATTGTGTATTATAAAGTTATCTGGATTGGGCTTTACAAAAGGCACTTTTAGTTAAAGTAGGCATGTTTCTGTGAAGATCTAAGTATTTTGATTAATAACAGATGATTTAAATTTAAGAGTCTACATAAAAGAGAATGACGCAGGTATTTGTTTTGTCTGATTCTCTTTGAGAAAGGAACCTTTATAAACTTACTCCATTTGTATTGTCAGCTTCTCCAAAATAATACAAAAAGACTGTATGATCAACTTCATCACAGGCTGTTAATATGATAACTATTGAAAACTAATCTTAGCATAAACAGATAAAGCGGTATTAAGAAAAATCATAAAACAACAATTATTGTTTTGTTTTTAAACAAAAAATTCTCAAGGTACTTGCCCCTTAACTCAAACTCGGAACACAATACTGTCTATATTGAGGTAAATTATTATTATTATTATTGGTCTTCATCTGCTGGCTGACCATTACATTGCATTGTTAACAAACAGTTTTAAATGAGTTTGCCTGATTTATTAAGAAATTTCTTACTTTATCAGAATATTTACTGTTTTTCACAGTATGAACTTAGAAATCCTCAGGAAGAAGGACTACCAATTACTATATTGGTAATATATTATGTTGCACAGAAGATAAGAAGTGATTTCCCCTTCCTTACTTCAGTTCTTCAGGAAGAAAATCAAAGCAC